ATAAAAGCTTACGGAAACAGAAAGGTGTGGGGCAGATACGAAGTGTTAAACTTGTCAAGGACTCACACGAAGGTCTCGGCATATCCATTACGGTGCTATTTGTACTCCATCTTATTTTAAATGGTGATTTTCTATCCGGATTCACATGGGGACCTTTTATCTTATTTGCACTTTATCTGGGGAATACAAATAATAAAAGATTAAGATTTAAGAAATATGTTTCAAATGCATACTTTTGTTATTATCTGAAGCCAGCAATACTTTCCTAGACTTTCTTAGATTTGTATGCCAACAGTTGGGATGAGAAGCGAGTTTTTGTAAACTCTGAAAAATCTTTTTAAAAAAACTAGCTTTCACATATCGGTTTTAAAGAATTTTGATAGAAGAATTGATTTGTTTTAGGGTGGAAAAGAACACGGCGTGCCAATTCTGATTTCGGAGATTCATCCTAATCAACCTGCTGAACGATGTGGTAATTTGTTTGTTGGTGATGCCATATTGTCCGTTAACGGTATTGATTTACGTACTGCGAAGCACAATGAAGCTGTTCACATACTTTCCGAACAGGTTTGAGGTTATTGCTTGTGTATATCTCTTTTACTTTAACTTTTACTGTTCATACTTTTCCTTCTTGAAGCTCGTATGGAATTCTTTTATCACGAACATTTCAGCTGGTGAATTAACTCAAGTTATAGGTTAATGCTGTGTCATGTAATGTGCCTTTCATTGGCACTGTATGAATTTTAACTTTCAACAGAAATGATCAAGAGTTACTGATGAGTTATTTCAGATGGATTAAATAGTAAGAAATACTTTCAAAAAACTGATTTTAGTCTATTCGTCACACTCTTATATAAGTGTTATAAGTTCGTTGTTTCCCACTAGCTAAGCACTTACATTGGTACAAAGTAATACCACCGAGCATCATTAATTTCGCTTACAACTTAGTGTTATTAAATATTGTTTTGAAGAGTTATTTAGCTCTTTATTTGATTATTCTTCAGTTTTTGCCATAGTTGGCATAATTTCAGGAAGGAGAACTAAATTTAAAAGTAGTCTACGTCGCTCCGGATCAGGATAGTGATGATGATGGTGATGTAATGGTTGAAACACAGGGTGGCTTCGTGTAATTATTTTTATTTTTTTATTTGCTATTTGCTCAGAGGAATCAGTGTATACATCTCCTCTTAATAATGTGCATATTTACTTTTTTCTACGTGTATTTAAAAATGTTTTTAATCAGATTCAATTTATATGAACCATTTACGGATCGTGAACAGAAGTTGGCGAGTTCGAGCACGTTGGAACAAACGACAAGTAGTTGCTCGTCATCTGCATCCCATCACAGCGATAACAACAATTCGATTACTGAAAGAGGCGCTGTCCGAAAACGATGATATAGCAAGGAATTAAAGATGATTAATAAACATATTTAGGCACACCTGATTATGAAGATGATCATTATTCTCCTAAACTGTTGATGAACATGGTGTGAATTTGTAAGATTAATAATGTCAGTGTTGATCTCACTCAGTTATCGTTATAAATTAATTTATTCTGACATTGCCAATAGTAAAAGAATCTTAAAAGTTTTTCAAACTGCCCATGTGTTGACATCAAATAAAATGAAAATTAAATAAGTGCTTCTTTTATAACAAAAAGAACTTCAGTGAAGTGATACTGTTGTAATAAGGAATTTGTACATGTTTTACGACAGCTTCGAAAATGCTGATGATTTTTCATTTGTTTAAAGAATGTTATATTTATTTTTCAACGAGTTCACTTTCTTTTCTTTCTTGCTTTAAAATGTCAATATTTTTTGGTTATTTCTGTATAATCTTCATTACTAGCTAGGGCTCAACCAAAATAGCAGTCATGATGCATTTAGCCTAGTTTCCTTCCTTTAACAAATTTGCATGATTTATTTAATTAAGAGTAAGCATTTTGAATAAGGGATGCAATACAGAAATTGAATGAAGTATTATGCAAAATGCTTAATCAGTTGTCAGTTCAGTTCTGTGTAATTAGTTTGTTAGCAAGTCGCTAATCATTGATGGAAACCTTAATAAATGCTTTTTCTTCCAGGATAGTATGTGTGAGTGAATTGTTAACTTTTGTAGTTATATCAGATCAGATCAAGACATTTTAAAATGTATTAGTCTCTGGTCAAACGTAGCTTTCTCCTTGAAAGCATGAAAAGAAATTGAGACAAAGAAATGAAAGACTTTTTTGTTAGTAGAGAAGACGGACCTTAGGGAAATAAATCCACCAAACTTCCAATGTTCAATTTAAAATGCTTTTCAAAGTAGAACTGAATAGAAGCGGATAGTCAGTCAAATATGTTACCCATCAATAACAGTTATTTTCACAAATATTTTTTCAATTTGATCATTTTAACTTGCAGTCAGTAAATTGAGAGAGAGTCAGCGTTGATGGCCCAAACTTCCTGTAGAACTCGTATTATTATTTATTATTCACACAAGCTCTTGAATTTGAAATTATGAAGTGGTTGCAATGATCGGAATGTAATGATGGTGTCATTAATTGTGTAGATGAGCAATTTGAAAAGGAACATACAAAATTGCAAAGCAGCGGCACTATCTATTCTTCGTTTCCTGATCCGGACAGAAACTTCCGAATATCACACTGGAAATGGATAATCATACTGTTGAAAATTGTAGCTGTCTCAATAAATGAGAAATTACTTTTTTGTCTGTTACAGTCTGTACAACGAAACTACAGTGATGCAAGAGAGGTGCAAGAGAGGAATGCCGAATCGAGAAATCATTGAAGTTCATGTCAGCTACGAATATATTTTATATGCTGTTGAAAATTTAATATAGAAGTGTAAACAACGCAAATACCAGAAAATCAATTGATATCTATGATGACAGTTGCTCAAACATAAAATACACTAATATTTTTTAATCTGTTAAGCCAAAATCGTTCTCTGACTCCTTTCCGCTAATATTCGCGAAATCAATATATTCAAATGTATGAATTATTATTTTTTTACAAAAATACTCCTTAATATTATTAATAAAGTTATTTGTTGCGCCTATGACAACTGTCTGGAAAAGTGGAATACTTACATTGTGATTACAGTTGCAGAATCTCAGTCAGAAGAGAAGATACCATTTCACTCACTTGGTCTACTGCTCAAAATAACTATCAGGCTTGATTAGTGAGTTCAAACCTTGAAGAAATCGGCAGCTGTCATATGAATTTAAGGACCAAGCAGATGAACATAAACCGTTGACTGATACAAAGATATCTTAAAACATTCCAACAATTCATTTTTACCTAGGTAAAATTGTATGTTATCTGTAGTGTGAAAGATATAAATTAGTAGTTTTTACAAACTGAATCACTATTTCAGACTAAATGGGAAGTGGTCAGAGCCGGGCAGGCGAACTAAACGGCAGTACTTCGAAACTTTTCCGATGTCTATGGTATCAGAATAAACAAAGTTTCGATGATTTCTATGAACCTACTACCATCACCTCTGCTAAGAAGAAAAAGTTCAGAGAGAGCTGTTGTATTAGAAAGACACTTATTAGTGAAAAAGCAGTCATCGTAGATGAATTTGATCTCAGAATTTTATTTGAATGTTAAATTGCTTCAATTGATTTGAGTTTTAAATTGAATACCGTTTCAGAACAAATTCACAACATTTGAATGAACATTTTAGAAATACTCGAAGAGTGAAATCAAAATGTAGAGAAATATCAAAAGATTCTTTGGCATCAACCAATTTATTGAATGATTCAATGACTTCAAATTTTGAATTGCAACAACAGAAACAAAAGACAGCAAACTATGTTATGAAGAGATATAATGATGCTTCCATTGATTACGTATCATATTTATACCTCTCACACGATTCTATTACAAAGGTTATTTTAGGCATTTCTTTCAATTCAGTTAGAAATTTGGTAGAATAATTTCCACCTTTTCATCAGGGACAAATTTGAAAATTCCTTGTGAATTAATGTTTTATTTCATTGATCAGGAATTTTTGAAATTACAACGAATTTAAATTGATAATAAGCAAAAACAGTCTAGGGAAGAAGTACTTAAAAACTCAAATCCAGGCAAATTGTTGTTTCTCGAATGACCTCAAAACAAAATCATGCTACGTTCTATTAAATAGACGGCTGAATAGAGATGACCGATCATTTAGCTGCAGTGGTAAGGAGGATTGTCATATCACGAATCCAGTTCAAGTGTATGGATATAACAATACTGTCGGAACGGTCTCAGATTCCGTTAGCAGCAATTATAAGGTTATATCCTTCTTATTCATTCAAATATTCATTTCCATAATTTGTATTTCAAAGTACTTCATCGATTTAAACAGTGAGGGAAGGATTAACTCCACTTCGGTGACTTTTATTAACAGCAATTAAAATGGAGCAATTACAGGGTTATTATTATCATATGGGCATTAAAATATATTCCATGGCTTTCTAACTGAGGCAAAACCTGAAGAACGAGATTCTAATATCTTGAATTAAGTAATTTGTATGTTTTTCTAGGACTAGAAGTAATAAAAGCAGATTTTCATGAGAATAATAAAAAGGGAAAAGAACAAAGGCATTAAAAAGTTTGCGCTTATCCATGAAACAAGGACATTAGCTAGAAATTCTGATCATAATTCTTTTATCTGGTAATAAAATCGTTCTGTTTCAGTTAAAAGCTTCAAAACAAAAAAGAATATAGAAATATTGGAAGTACTTCTGATGAAAACTATAAACTATGCCTCTACCATAAATAACTATTTTGATAATAAATTAATTCATTTACAAAAACTGGATAGAATCAGAGAACCAATTAATAGTTCCAAGCACGAAAAAGAAAAGGGATCATACCACCAGCATTACAAATATTTGATAATTTCTCGCAGACCGATAACTGATAATTTTTTTCCAGAAAAAACTGATAATTTAATAATTTTCCAGTGCTCATTCAAAACTGATATGCTTTTAGCTCTCCCTTAGACCTGTGATGATGCCGAAATGAAACCAAAGTAGATACACAATACAAAAGTAACCTATTCGAACTAGTCCCAGTCCTAAACCACTGCTGGGTGAAATTCGACCTTTAGTGAATAAATTAATTGATTATAGTAATTCAGAACTTGTAAAACATAGAGCTCATTATATAGTTTAGATGATAAAAATAAATAAAAATGGGTATAAAATGGCTATCGCAATCAAGAAACCGCGGAACAGTGCAACTGAGAAATTCGCCTTGGTAAGCTTTCTTGATAAAAATTTAATACTATAATGGCTTTTTCATTTTTACTAAGTACTTACCACAATTTATAATAATAATCGACAATAATAACTGACACTAGTAATTGATAGTAATAATTAATTAACTAATAATAGTAAAAATAATAACAATAATAATAATAATTACCTGTTATCGTAGAGCAATCAGTTATCATACTTTTCCCACATCTGCATATTTAATTAGGAGGAAGCAAGAAATCATCTGTTTCACTTAGTATTTCTTTTGATCGTGTCTTCAGTAGTGAATTGCAAAGAATTAAAATTGAAGATTGCATTATGGTGTAACAAATGAAGTATCCTCAATTGTTGAGATCATTACAACAAAAATCTCTACGACTGAAGAGTTTTAAATAAGTTATTAATCATTTATAAATTATAGTTATATTAAAAGCTGAATACATTATACATAGATGGATATATCTTGAAAACCAAAAGAATGTATAAGGCTAGGAGTCTCTTAAAAATATTTCAAATACTAAAATGTTTGCTGTCTCCTTTGCACATCTACCTACTCTTTCTCGACCGTAGTGACCACTACCATAGTGACCACCGAAAGATGCAAGCCACAAACAAATGCATCATCATCATTATCCATATTTAATATTCTATCATTCAATTCAGAAAGTCTCGACGAATTCACTTTTCGCTTTGACTCACTTAGAAGAAATAGTGCATTTTGTGAAGAGAAAGCGGAGATTAACAAATTCCGTGGAGCAATGCGTAGTAACAGAGAGATAGAAAGGATGAGGTGGCAAGAATTCAGTTTGCGATTTGAAGAGAGTGAGTGTAGGTGGTGAAAGGTGAAGGAGGAGATGAAGTGGTTGGTGTAGGGAGGGGAGGGTTAGTTGGTTGAACTTCGAGATGAAAAGTTCAATTTAGGGGTTGGTGGATACGATGGCAATAACAGCACTGCCGGTGAATTGCTGGCTCAGGGAGCGCTTGAACAATTGGGTGCAGCTGTCCGGACACGAAGGTTCGATTCCTCTTCTCTGCTCCTCTCCTTCCATCTTATACCTTGGGCGATGATTACCGTACCATTGCATTCTGTAGTGTCTCGCTGTACTCTGTATTGTCTTTCAGACTATTACCTTACCGGTACCTGATCTTCTTCTGTTACTCTTCTATTCCAATTTATGGAATACTTCCCTCAAATTTGCAGGAACAATAATTCCGGCAACTGATAAAACGCTATGGAAGAAACGATCGTACAGCGGTTGCAACGAAAGTAATGCGTATCGTGCATTAATGAACGATTCTGCATTGCAAGCTTTTGTGCCTCGATATTACAGAGAAGTCGAATATGGAAATGATTGTTAGTTCTTGGAAGTTTATGCTTTTCTGTCTTCATTAGGAGAAAAAAATGTTGTGCATTCAAGAACGAATGCTTGGGAGGTCGTACTATTCATTGAATTTCGAATCTTACTCGTATGTTTCGGCTTTCTCGTTACATGGTTTCGTGGTTTATTTGATTTAAGCTTTTTTTGGTGGAGGACATTTGATAGTGTACAATTAGTTGACTCGTTGTTTCATAACACAGAGCAAATATCCTTACAAAATGACTACTGATTTCAAAATTTTGTTGTGTACTATACAAATGATATGATGTTGCAGCTTTTATCGAAATTGAAGATCTCACAGCTCTATTTGATGACCCAGCGATAATGGATATCAAGATGGGAACCAGGTAAAATGTTGAGAACCATTATAAATATATTTATTCAATTATTCTTTTTTCATTTTGCACTTTTGAGTCTTTTGAATAAGATGATCCCTTAAGGTGCATTATTAAATTTTTCCAGAACTTTTCTGGAATCTGAGCTTAACAGTAAAATCGTACGAAATGATTTGTATGAAAAAATGGTTTCATTGGATCCTTATGAGCCTACAGAGGAAGAACATGCTACTAAAGCTATAACGAAAATGCGTTACATGCAGTTTCGAGAAAAGAAAAGTTCTACTGCGACATTAGGTTACAGGATTGAGGCTGCAAAAGTTAGTTTTTAATTGTAGTTTTTAAATTGTATGGATAAGATGTCTCACAAGTTTCTGGAAAATAAACTTTTTTCTTGCAACTTGCAAGGTTATTTTAAGGAATATATTATCTTTCAGATGCCAGGTGGGGTTTTGCAAAAAAGTTTCAAGAAGATAAAAACACATGAAGATATCAGGAAAACATTAGTGGAGTTTTTTGGACAACACATATCAACAGCGGGTTATCATATTCTTCAACGCCTGAAAAGATTACGAGAAGCTGTTCAAAAATCACTTTTTTTCCGAACTCATGAAGTATTTAAGAAAATTTTCTTTTGTTAACTTTACATTATGCACTTGAAAACATATTTTCAAAATAAGATATGAAAGTCGTGATCAGTACCATGATTGGGGGTATCCGAATTTTATTTACGATATCGAGTAATTTCTTTTTTGTGAGATGTATTATTGCAGGTTATTGGTAGTTCATTACTATTAATGTATGATGCAACATTAGCTAATGTATGGATGATTGATTTTGCCAAATCGATTCCAATGGAAATAGACTCAGTAGACCACAGGCGAGAATGGATTTTCGGTAATCATGAAGATGGATATTTTGTAGGACTAGACAATCTTATCAAGGTGTTTAAATTTTCTTCTGTTTATTTTTTTTTTAAATTTTTCTGTTTATGAAGAACAATATTTCTTATTAAATAAGAAAATAAGGAAGTTAAATTTCATCTCACTTTAATTTTTGTTGGCTATAAGCATTATATATAGTTATTATTATTTTAGTGCTTGTTTAACGCCAAAATTTATTTTTCTGGTACACAAGTTATATTTACTGCATCTTTCAGATTATGGAAGAATTGATTCTCTTATGATTTATTCGGATGCTTTTCATGTTCAGAATTTTATTTATCATACTTTCCACTACGGTTTTCGATTTTTGTAGTGCAAATGAAAATATATTTAGCCACCGCATTCAACCAACCTTTTTTTTTTTTTTTGAGTATCTGTTGGGATGCATTGAATAGAATATCGGAGAAACAAGTGATTTTTATCAAATGCGGAAAAATTAAGTAATTCCATTATTCCTTTAATATTATGTGGTTCTCTGGATTCTCTTATATATCTTTAGACAGTTAATTATCCACAATTACTATTAACTCACTGTTTACCTCTCCTCAGTATTGGCTTTTATTGGGAAAGACCACAGAACCTTACTCTCCAATTTATTTTTTTCACTTACTCTAAGCAATGTATGTTTTGAAATAATTCTCTATCTGTGTTTTGCATTTGTAAGATACGCTGTCCAAGCAATACTGCATGTCCTTAGTGCTTGTAAATGATGCGCTGGTTATTAGTTGAAGACAGTTTGTGAAGTAATTACCTACCTGATGATTTCCTATTTTCTTATTTTGCTGTTTTTGCATTATTATTACTTGTATGATAATAGACATTCACTTGTGTTTTTCATCTCCAATTTTTTATGTTATGAGAGTGCTGGGAAGGTCTCGCAAACTGTGCAGATTTGTTAGAGGCCTTTATAAATTTCTCCACACTTCTTATTACTTTTCATTGAATATGATCACAATTCTTATGTTTTGATATCAAAAGATGTAGATAAAAGTTATAAAATGTTAATGAAGTGACATGATTTATGCATTTTCAATATTTTTAAAGATGAAATGATCTCTTCTTGGTTTAATGCGTGTGTGTATGTGTGTGTGTTACTTTTGTGTGGCACTAAATTCGTATGTATATGAACATTCCTTGCTAAATCAATTAAAATTATGATTTGAAGTTAATTGAGTCACGAAGTAGTAGCGGGGTCAGGAAAATCCCAATATAAACCATCTATTGCAAATTACAAATTATTATAAACCATTTTCCAACCAATTACGGACCGTTTGCAAAAGTCCTTCATTTCATGTATTAAAAAAAAAGCAAATTTTCTGTGCTAATAATGTTTCAGGTTGTTAGTAAATAGTGTTAGTAAATTTATCTATGTTAGTTCTTCTCTCTCGTTTAATTCGATTCATTTAAATCCTTAAGTTTCCTATCAACTGATAAGAATGGCTATTAGAATAGGAGACTATTAGAATTTAAAATGTTTGCAAGTAGATTTATGTAGAACAAGAAGTAATTTTCAATGTATTAAGCAATGCATATACTCCTTTAACAATTGAAAATTTCTAGACAAATTGGAGGATGAATGTTGGTTTTGGTTCTGGCCTCTGTGACTGCGTTAACGTAGGGAAATAGCCATTGTCCTTTCTTAATATTTTTTTGTTCCTGACGGCTCAGATAGTAAATTTCTTGCTAATTATTTGAATTCAATAATTTGACTGCAGTAAAATCCTTATCTTCACTTAGCAAATTATGCAACCTTAGATTTCAGCGTAAGAAGTTTTTTTCTTTGTTATTACTTTAATGAAATTTCTCGTTCCAGTTTTAGATTTCTTGTTGACCGCAAAAGTCGAATATTTTAGTTTTGATTCGAGTGAAACATTAATTTAGAACCTATCGATTTTATTGTATTTATTATACGTGATGTTAATTAGTTATTGCGACACAAGTGAATTTGACAATGTAAAATTGGGTGAGATTCTAAATTAACATTGTCTCACTTAAAATTAACATACCAGATATAACAACTCATTTTTTGTTGTGAATGATAGTGATAAAATTTACTATATCTGCAAATTAATTTAGCAATATCAATTGAAAATGACTGAAATTTTACAGGTAACATCCTTTTAGTTATTACAACAATAGAGCTTAAAAAAGGTTATCATTAAAATGTTGACCAGTGATAACTGACAGTTCTTAATAATTTTCAGTTCAGTTTTCTGCCGACAAATAATTAAAAATACTTTAATTTTGTAATTAACATCACTTTTGTAATTTAAGCAGTAAGTCTTACAAAGATTTTGACGTCGAAATGACAAGGTTTTAAAGTTAAAGATCACTTACTGGTTCATTTTAATTACATTTTTCAGGAAGTAAACGTCATTTGATAATATCAATTGAAAATGACTTAAACCTTACAAGTAGCCTGTTTTTAGAATCACAACAGTGGATTTTAGAAAAAAAACCTAACATGTTAACTTCAAAAAAGTTTATATCGAAATATTAATCAGCTTTCAAAAAAAAAAAAAAATCAAAACCCACTAAAACTATTTTATCAGTTTGATTTCAAAGTTCGCTGACAGAAAATTTGTTGGCAGTATCTAATTTTTCTGTAAATTCTCAACAAAATATGGGATTTGAAAACGTAACAAAGTTCAGAATATGGAACATAATCGAAAGAAACTCTAGAAATTATCTTCTATGTTTTAATTGGGAACCGGATTCATTTTTCTGCAAACTGACATGGCGAATACGATAATTCAGGACAATTTATTTATGAAATATTATTATAAACAATCTACTTTAAACGATATTGCTCCAAATAAACAATTATATAAACTACATAATAACAAGCACCGTAAAAGCGACTCAATCAAAACATAAAGAAATAGTGTCGACATTTATATTATTCTCAGTTTGGCTCAACTGATTTAAAAAATGAAAAGTAAAAAAAAAAAAAAATCGTAAGCAGGGGAATGCGGTTGTTTGCTTTAGGAATATTCATACATCAATAGCCATATTATATGTAGAAGTAGCGTTATTGCTACGTATTACAAATGACAGATTATATAAACCCCAGTACAAGATTTCATTTCATAAACCAATTAAATGAAAAATAATACGTAAGTGGTGATAAGCATCCGAAAATGTCATCATTTTATCAGTTCATAGAAGTTTAGATTTAAAGGGATATTAAGAAATCAAAGAAAAAAAAATTGAAGCAGAATCAAAATCATCCCCTAATCAGTTTGCTACAACCATTTTATTTGACAAGAAAAGTGTCATTTATTACTTCAAGTGAAAAGCCTAAATAAAATGAAATGAATTAACAGAACAGATTAACCACCCGCTACAGTATCGTAGTTTGCGCGAAATAATCGCTTGTGTAATTGAAGCTTCCATACCGCACCAGACATTACTATCAGTACCATAAGTAAAATGAATACTGTTATCAGCGTTATATTGGAATCATCCGGAATCGGTGGTTCTGTTGGCTTCTCGAATATGAAAATTGTTGTTGTTGTTGTCTAAAAATGTATGAATTATTAAAAGAATGTAATGGTATTTAATCAAGGAAATAACCGGCCAGAATATGAGGTATTTTCTTTTCTTGAGCTTATTTTAGACGGTCTTATTTTATGGGGATTAGAAATAGAATAATAAAAATAAAATGCTGATCGATCAGTAAATCAGGTCAAATTAGATCACTTCTCTTTCAGCCTAAACTAACATCATGAAAATGAAATTAACGTCAACATTAACCATCAGATTGATGAAAAATGAAAAAAAAGAAATGTATCTAACAACACTTCTACCTCCTCCTTGTTATTTTTAATCTTTCTTTCATTTTGTTTATCACTTTCTTCTTCCTCCTCCTTTCCTTCCTCCTCATCCTCCACTTCTTCGTCGCCGTTCTCCTCCTCCTCATCTTCATTCCGTGCGTTTCCTTTGTTTTTTCCTTTCTCATATTTTCCACTTTCAATTCCTTCTTCTTCTTCTTCTTCCTTCTTGTCTTCGTTCTCTCTTCCTTTATTCCGATCTTGACCTGAATAATTATATCGAATATTTACAATGAATATTGTAAATAGAACACAACAGAGTCAATTGATTTATAGGGAACTATTCAGCTCCGCCCTTGAAAATTTTTACATAATTTTCCAGAAATTACCCTTTGTTTTGCTCTAGTCAGAGCATAAGTGCAGTTATTTTTTTACTTTTACTTCTACAGCCCGGGTCATCAAATCTTTTAAAAGTTATTCTTTTACAATCCGAATCACCAAGTCCTTTGGTAGCTGGGAATTCTTATGCAAATATAAGTCGAAAACCGTAAAACTTTGTGCTAAATAGTTCAAGCATTTACCTGTACTATTTGCTAGAACTTTTTGTTTCTCTAGATATTAGCCGATTTTTGAAAAAGCCAGGTGCATTTATCCCGCTTCCTTAGATTCTATCAAAATAAGATCGACTAACAGTTTTCTAAGAAAACCGTTCTGCATTTTTGGATTTGGATACCCTAAAGCTTCAAATATGTAAAAATTCCAGATATTGCTGTACTTCGAAATAGACACTTCGAATTTTACACTGGAAACTGTATCATCGTTTAATAAAGCTAAAAATCCATCAAAATTTGTCATGCCTGTCCGATCCCTTTCCTTTCTTATTGTTAATAACGTTTCCTTGAAACCATACAGCTGGGAATTGATATTAGGAAGTAAAGTCAGAAAATTGTTATATTATTAAAAGCTAAAACTTAGATTAGGCAGAATATTAGAAGGAAGGAAAGAACCGCATATTCTGTAGCTAAAACAATTTTAGCAGTTTTTGAAATTGATACAAAAAGATTTTGGCTGTTTCATCAACTTCTTCGTAAGTGAACTTTCTATGCTGGATCCGTTAAATAGATTCTAATTATCTTAGAAAAGACTTGAAAAACATTTTTACTTGCAGCTTTTTGTTTTTTCCTCGATTCTTTCTCCTCTTCTTCCTTGTCCTCTTCTTTTTCTTCCCCTTCTTTATCGTCATCTTCATAATCTACCTCCATTCTAGGCGGTTTCCTAAAATATTAAATTAATGTCATTTGTTCATACAATAACAATTTATATTTTGGAAAAAGAAAATTTTGATGTAAATTTACTTCATTATTTTCCTGTATTTTGGTTCTTTACTTTTCCCTCTGGATAAAACGATTTCCTGATTTGCTCGAGATCTTCCTATTGCTCTCCTGTCGTTAGTCTAAATTGCACTTGTTGACAAGGAATATTATGAAGTAATGGCACTGAAAGCTGATAAGACGCAAAAGCTTTAAGTATGAGTAAGTTACCAAAACTACTCATCCTGTGTGTTATGTTGATTGACAGTAACTATATATAAAACAGGTAAATTACCTGGAAACAAGACTCAACTTCCACTTTTTCAGATTGGAATCGTGCACAACCTGTCGGTTGCATTTCTTCAGCAAGTTCGGCTCCGTCGAGAAATGAGGCACAACCCATCGTTCTATATTCCGTCATATGGCCAAGTTTACTTTTGATAGAAGCTTTGAAACAAAATTCACCGATACACGTTGTATTTCGTGATGACACCTACGAAACTATGTTAATTAATGGAGTGATACCTCTTATATGGAGGCGTTTCAACGATAATTTATTGCCTGAAAATGTTTTATTTCCAATGCAGTGAATTCAGAAATTTAACTCGTTCGGACCAATGATTTCACCGTTTTGTTTTCATGGGTTGAACACATTAAAGTTAGAGATATGCTGAATATCAGACTAGAAGTTAGCAAGAACAATAGTAAGGTAGTATGTTCAAGCATAATATGGCCATGTCTCTTAGAAGCCTCGAAGAAACTAAAGAGATCCGAACTCTTGAACTTGTTGGATGGAAAAAACACAACTGCTGCCCAATGGAAAACTATTCCGATTATCACTTTTTTAAACTGTTAAATAAGAAAGTAAGTTCTTATAAATAAAGTAATTCTGAGTATTTACAAAACTATTACCTTCGTTCCCATTGCTTCCAGTGTAACGAACGTCTGGCACTTCATTTTTTCTGGTTGTGTAATTTCCGGTTTTTCACTATTACAATAATCAGTCATGCATACACATGATTCCGTTGCTAGTAGTTCATGTGGATCCTTGGAAACCGTGTGATGCATAGCACCAGTAATAGGTGGAATCATGCAGGAACCTGCTGATCTCCTCTCGATTAACGGCACTGAGCTATTCACACACCCCTAAATAACCTTTTACATTTCTGTGAATTTCACTTTTCAAAGACAGTAAGAATGTTTCCGCGGCTATATTCTTCGAAGTTTGGTTCAAATGCTGGAATTTTTACGCGACACTGTCTACAACTTGAGCATTCCGATATAATACCCACTTTCGAGAACTTATATCTTTTCTGTGGAATGAACATAAAAATTTTTAAAAATTGCTTAGTTTCCTTAAAAACCAATAATTCGAAGTTTCTCCCCAAACAAACTGTTATATTATTTTAATTAAATTTTTCATTTTTCCGGATAAAATATGAAAGGCAAGTTAAATTAATTTTCAGTCTAAATTTTAAGATACATAAATTAACTCGTCTCTTATATTTGTTTTCAGTTTTAAACTTTGTCATTATCGAGATTCTAAACTAGTAGAAGAAAGAGAATGACACCTGTTCAGACTTTTTAGTACGATGGTTGATGACGTAAGAGCACATCTCACCGGTGCAGGTTTTACTCTGACAATGAGCTCCCTTGCAGACACATGTGATGAGTGCTACCGGTGAGATCTCCAGTCGTCTGATCGCCTTGTCGTTGTTGCAATAGTCTCTGTCACAGAAGCAAGTAAATGGTTCCTGTAAATTACCTGATAATACTTCATCTTCTTTAGATACTTTAAAAGCTTTGAATATTTCACAGTCAAAAACTTCTGCTTTATTTTATTTTTGTTCTATGTGGTTCGCAACATCTATTTTTTACAAATTGGAAAAATTTTTTCTAAATCTAAACATTCTAAACACTGCTAACGGCTGATTGCAAGTTTTCAAAAATGGACTAGCCTATAAAAATAAGTCCCAGTGTTTTTATCAACAATTTACTATTGGGCTTTACAATATTATCTTAATCTCATTTTATATATCAGTACCACTCCTTTTGATGATATTAAAATGTAAAATACAAACTAATTATTCATTATCCAATGTCTGCAAAAATTGTTCGCATTTTTGTTTTATTGCAAGATTATTATTTAAAAAAGAAAAAGTGACCAAATTATTTTAATGAAATTGTGAAAGGAGATTTCTTCAGATTTATAACAAATTTAAACAAGCGAAGAAAAAATGTTTCATCTTAATTTCTTAAAATCAGAAATTAAAATCACTTTCCATATCCCTGGCAGGATATGAATAATTAAATAAAAATGAAAAGAAACCAAACCTGGCCATTTTCATCGGCAGTCTCGCAGTGACTTCTAATATTTTTCTCCAACATTCGTCCACTTACGCAACCTTTAACAGTACGTGGCTCTCCCCATTCCACAGTGCCCCATCGTGGGGCATATGTCCCAAGCATGCAATAGTCACCCTCGCAAAATGTCCCCATGCAGTCCTTACCCACACAATCCAAGCATTTTACCGCGTTACAAAGCGGTAGGAAGCATACAGTGAGTAATACTTTTATCCATAATTGTAACTCTTGCTGACAATTAGTTACTCCTCTTGCTGTTGATGTAAGTGAAACAAATAAGCGTTGAGTCATTCCGAATTGCCTGATGAAATATGCAAAACAGGTGGGTCATTAAGAAATTTTATATGCTAGTAAATTGTTTACTCTTGCAAGATATGAAAATTGCACTGAGTACGTGACATATAAATTAATGATGATCTGTCCAAAAATTTTAACCATTCCACTATTACTTTTATTTTCTGCTCTTCGGACTTCAACTCGGCAAACTGCATGCAAGAAAGTCAGACTGGCTTATTAAATTCATTTAAGATTATTATTCAATGAAACAAAATTTGAAGTAAAATGAAGCCAAGAGAAGACAAGTGGAAACTTTGGCAGCTAATATGTTACAAGCCAGTTTTGTTATATCCTATCGTCCAGTCAGTTTAGCATTTGAATTTGAGAGAACGGTTCAAATATTCTCATTGGAGTTTATATAAGTAAATTCATCAAATTTTTTATATTTTTCGTAATGGAGAAGAGAAGAAAAGATGGAAGAGTGTATGATAGATAGGTGAAATTGAATGAGTAAGGAGGACTTCGGTATAAGTAATCTTAAAAGTGAGTTTTCTTTACAGGAAAGAGAGAGGAATGATTCATAATTCTTATTAGCTTATGCTGAGAGACAATCGCGAGCTTCTAAGTATGAATCAAAGTGGTAATCAAAGTTGTTCTCATATCATCATCTTATATAGAAAACTGATACTGTAGACTATGAAACAATACAGCACAACTGACAATTATATAATTAATTCTAGGAGAACAGCAATATCACACTGTCTCATATATTGGTCGTGATATCTACAGAGAGCCTTATGAGGTAGCGCCAGGGAGAAGAATAATCGACATACCTATTATAAAACGGTCATCGTGAAGGTACAAACATCACATCATATTCATATAGAAGTAAAAATAACATCTGTGGACACGTCTCGAATGCTTTTATAAGATCGATTCGTTCAGAGTTGAATACAGCTTTAGAAGAGCATGAAAAAGGGAAATGCTGAAAAGGAAATCCGATTTTTCTGACTCCTTTCCATCTCTGAATATTCTCCATTCTATGGCTAAGGAAGCCTGGAGTAAAACAAGCCTTAAGCAGACTGCATGTAGAGGCCTGGATAAAAAGGTCTGCACAATGACCTAAAGGCAGCAGTGGATGGATGCATGAAGGCATAGACACACAAGCGTTGCTTTCTCAGATAGCAAAATCAATCACACACCTAATTCACTGAGAGTACTATCTTAGAAATTGACAGAGTGATTAAATGCAACGTTTACAGATTTTTTCCCTTCTTTCATCTGCCATAGATGCCTATACATTCTTTAACAATGTAGCTGAAAGTTAAAATTTAAATGGCTCATCTCACTCGCTTAATTTCATTTGACATAGAAATTAAAGTCACTTTCCATATCCTTAGCAAGATTATCTTTTTAACTATCTTTGTATATTACAATGGACTGCAATTTATAGGAGAAAAGGAATCCTTTATCGATGTGTGAATGACAAGCCTTTTAATGAGAACTAGTAGTGCAAAATAATAGCTCAAATCTGACATTTTCTTAATGCTTTATTACTAATGACGTGAAAGAGAGAAATAGGGAAAGAAACAATGGAAATGAAGAAAACAAAAATTAGCTACCCAGTTAGTTCCTGCAAATTTAATAACTATAAGTAAATATCATTGAGCAATATGCATATCTTATTGCTATGATCATAATGAAGAAGTTTTCATATTCTCGATCCTTTTCTTCCACCGCCAACATATCAAATGAGCTGTACACAAAAAAGAAATATTGCTCGACAAGTTGAGCAGAGTTGCTTTGAACCGAAGCAATAAAAATATTTTAATTCGAGAGGACCCGTTACATACGTAACAATGTTGAGAAAGTACAGTCGACTTTCTAACTTTCGTATGTATATCTATGAAATTCAAAGACTGAAACATTATTGCAGTAATTTTCGTTCGATGAATAGCAATTGCAGAAGCCTATAGAAACTTTCAAAAAGTAGAACTACAACGCTATGCTTTTAATCGTTGAATGCTCAGTGTTTTTTGTCGATAATTGAAAATATTCGACAGTGTACTTAACTTCAACAGAAAAGAAAACTAATGGGAAGTTGAAGAAAAAAACCAATATAATAAGAATTAATATGATAGAAAGTTTGAGAAGTTAATATGCGTGAAACAGATGAAAATTTACCATTGCCTTTCTCGAAATGATTACATCTCCAAAATGGGATGGAGAAGTGACATCGATATTTAATCATGGATCATAATTGTCAACAAGCCGAACACAGGAAACGAGGGAGGTGATCTGAAGATCGAAACAAGGTTAAAATTTAAATATATTAGGATGTACAACCTAGAATGCTAGGAGAGCAGTAGTTCAGATGCCCTGAAGTCATCAGCAACACCATTGCTACACCACGACAGTACATCACAGTACATTGCTGGCAAGTCAGGTGGAAATGAAACGAAGAATTAGCAAAACTGTGACATAAGCGTCTTAGCTGCTGAAAGAAAACTAATTTTTCTTCACATTAATAAGCACTATTAATCCGACTTACGCAATTACAAAACGACGAAGAACGTTTGTTGAAATGGATCTCACCAATAAATTTGATACTATCATTCTAATACCTTATACTTTTTAATTTACAATTAATTTCGTCTTCATTTATTGCAAATTCATTATTTCCAAGGATTTGCCTATCTAATTTCCTCCATTGATTCAACACACTTCCAAATTATATCAATCATATCTTTTTCCTCAACAATCATTCCACTATTTTTTGCCTTTTATGAATACAATCAGAAAGTTCAGGAAGAAGAAACTACTTTCGAACACTGACTATTTATTCTTGCGGTAAAATCACAGAAATAATAATGAACTGAAAGAATGGAAAGCAAGGGAGGACATTAATAATTTTTATTGTTGATATTATTTTAATTTGATTTTATGTATATTTGTGTTTATATTATCTCACCGTATAAATTAAGAATACTAGTATTAAATTTCCCATATATATGGTAAATATATGGTTGCAAATTGGAATATGACAGATGTCACTAATGTTGTGGGTAATTCCTCTTCATCTCAATAACCTGAAGTGATTTAAGATGGCCGTCTCTAAATTCATTAAGGACACTATTCAGAGATGATTAGCAGATCACATAAATGTCTATTTCTTTCTGTCAACCTACAGCTCTTCATATTTCCGACGCGTTGAATCGTTGAATTTTCATAATGTTTACTGATAATTACGCCGCACGGTAGTTTAGGCTTAACTTTAGGATAGCTGACAGTTCGTGAAGTGTTTAGGTCTGTGGAAGGTCGGTCTGTGCTCACATCTCTGAGTGTTTACTAACTGAACAGCGGAGTAGTCATAGCATTACTAATCTTCATGAGAGTGTCCCTCTACGCCGAGTCGTTCAATGCTCAATCTTGTCAACGTATTAATTTTGTGTGATAGAAGGGTGTGCAGCATATTCATAGTATTTTCTTCTCTCTTTACTTATGTTAGTTAACTGTTGTCACAGTGGAAGTATATTAGTGAATTTTCGAACAAGTCATTATTACCATCAAAATTTCAGTCCTCTCTCAATATTTGCTAAAGATATCTTGCCTGGTGGTCCTAAATTATGATTAGGTACTAGTGATCGTTGGCGGCTCATACACATAGCTCATGAGTGTTGTTGCATTGATTCAGATCTAGGAAAGAACTGACGAGAAAAAAAAAAAACTGTTTGGTGATTTAGGAAAACTTAGAGTTGCAACATTTGGCAGCACAGTTATGTATATTATTTTTTAATTTTAAGTCATACTGAGTGACGAGGTCTGACAGGTTGTTCAATTCCGAGTCTTCTGACCTTTCTGCCGCAAAGTGATGAGAAATTCTCAAGGCTGCGGTGTTTTTGTATTATTATTATTAGATGCTAATCTAGGCTATATAACAATTTTGCAAACTTGTTTATAGGAGCTTGTGTGGAAGTTCCTTCCTCTCCTTTAACTCTGATTTGCCAGTAAGCTATCTGTTATAATAAGTAATGTTGCATAATATTACTCACTTCTAACCTTTTTAATAAATTCTTTCACAAGATCGGATCCAGATATACTATGAAACACGAGCTACATAGATTTTAGGCATACTTAATTGACGAGCTCATTTCTTGAAACTTTGTAGTGTCCAACTTGTGTGACGCTCATATGTCATCAATAAAATGCACGTGCTGTAAGATATTAAGTGCTAGACGAATGGGAAATTTATGGATAATATTTAGGAATATATAAATGTTGCAATTTAATAATTATGGACACAGAACATGCAATAAAGATACGGTTTTCCTATTTCTGAGGACAAAGTCATGTAATTTTATTCAAAAAATCAATTCTTCGCATTAAAGAAACAATAGAAAATCATTAAGGAAATAATTTATATTCTTAGAATTTCAGTTCAGTGGGATTGTATCTGTTAGTGAGCGCAGACCTTTCAGAATGAATTATAGTGTCGAGAAAACATTGCGGTGACTTATTCTAGTTGCCTAGTGACTTCAAGCTCGTTCTCTTGTCATCATTTCAATCATGCAATGTTCGCCACTTATTGCACTCAAAATCCTTCTGCCTTAGGTAAGTAGTTCCGTTTTTTGTTGCTATTTCGAATGCCTGTTTTTGTTATTGTCCTATCCGCACACTTGTAGGATTTTTTTAAGCCTGACGTCGAAGAAGATACCCTAGATTAATAGAAGAAAATTACATCATCCTTTGTTCAGAGTAATTTTTATATGTTAGAAATTTTTTATTTCGCAACAATTTGAATTCAAGGTAAATCCAGTGTATCCGCTCTATTTATGTCTACCTTTTATTACTACGGTCGAAATCATCCCCGAGCTTTTTTCTCGAAGTTATTTAAAAGTCGTTGTGTTGTTCTTCACTGGAATATTTAGGAGGGACGTATAAATTTTTTCAATAATTTAATGATTAACAAATTCCGGAAGGAAATTAGAGCTAATGCCGATCTTTCACGTATTAGGAAATATAATCTATGTCTAGTGTCATGTGTCAATAATATGAGATATTATAATTGCTTGCTTTTCTTTGTTTTCAGCTATTTCAGTCTTTTTATGAAAAAATGATGACCAAAAAATTTGTTGGACGTTTTTGGTTCACAGATTGTTGCATGCTCTTTAATTATTAAAGTGATAAAATAAAAGTTCGGACGCGAAAGTTCATGGTGATGCTTATATTTTTGGTGAATTCTTATATATATTCTTATATTATGCGAAAGTTCATGGTGATTCTTATATTTTTTGTTAATGCAGTTGGAAATCTGTAAAAATTAAGTTGTTGTTGCTTTGTTTTTCACTTTTTCTTATTGTAATTTCGTTTGTCACGAAAGGATGAATGTGTGATGAGTGATTCCTTTCCACTTTCCCACTTCATTAAACTACATACTTCAGACTTATTTCACGTCAAAAGCTACCACTAGTTTTTATACTAGCAACGATGTTAGGATAGATGAAAATCTTCGAACTCTTTGTAATTTCAGTCGCTTTTCTCATAGAATAATGATATTTATTTCTCTCATGCCTACTTCTGTTTTGCAGAAACTTAAAATACCGATGTAGGAATTTCCATCTTTATTTAAATGAAATGAAGAATTCTAATTTACTGATTAACTGTTCGTTACCGTTATTCTTACCCTTTTTTTATCACTTTCATTTCCAGACCATTTTCTATACAGGCTATAATTAGATTTGCTATAAATAAAGTATATGATGACTCACGCCAGCATGAGATTTATACACCTTATACTTAAAATGTGCAGTTGAAGTGAGTTTGTAATTTGATATGAACAGAGCATTATGCAGTTCTCCAGTTCCTCATCTCTGCACAAACGCACCATTCTTTCTGCACATCTCATTGGTGTGTGTTAGAGCGATTGATGCTAGTTATTAACCCTCGTGCTAATTATTAGTCATTCGGATTATTTTGGTGAATTCGGAATCTCATAATTAATGAAATTGGTCACTGAATCACTGACGATAATTGTGAGAGAACTTCCCAACTGCAATCGCTTTTTTCGTTTGACTATTATTTTAAAATATTTTAACACTTTTAATAATTGCACATTTTAAAACAAAGCATGATTGGTCACTCACGGTGAATCATATTACCAAAAAAGTCAGTGTCAGTGCACCGGTTATAATCTGCGTTATCGAAATGTAATTTCAAAGCGAGAGCTAAAAAAAAGTAAACATTTCTCATATATTGTTTTTAGAAAGAGAAAAGAAGGACAACTGCCAAATGTCAAACACAAAGGAACGAACATTTATATGTATCAAACCGGATGCCGTACAACGCGGTTTGATTGGAAAAATTTTTGAGCGATTCGAACAACGAGGATACAAATTGGTTGCTATGAAAATGCTAAAAGCCACAAAATCACACTTGGAAGTAAGTCCATCTTTGTCATGTTCTAATAGACAATTTCCAACTTCAGAATTCCTTAGTTAGGAGATGACTAATAAATTTCCATGTTTATTTGCCATAGACATTCAAACAAAAATGAAACTCTTTTAATAGAAATATATGTCTCAGATACATTACCAAGAATTGCAAGGAAAACCGTTTTTCAACGATTTAGTGGGTTATATGTCATCTGGACCTGTAATTGCCATGGTATGGGAAGGTCTTGATGTAGTTAAACAGGCACGACAAATGCTTGGCGCGACAAATCCTCTAAATTCAATGCCAGGTTAGAATTATTTCACGTTAATTTTTGTTGTGCTTGGAGGATAATCCTATAAGTAGTTAGTATTAAAAAAACTTTTTGGCTGTTGAAAAAAACAATGTAGTAAGATGATGCACAACTCATCAAGTTGTACCACTCTGTTTCATCAAGGAGATGTCAAAATAGGTTATGAATTCAAGGTATCTCTTTGTTTCACTAAAAAATTTTATTCCAGGTACTATTCGTGGTGATTTCTCCATACAAACAGGACGAAATATAGTACATGGTTCAGATTCCTTGCCTTCAGCCGAACGTGAAATTACTCATTGGTTTAAACCAGAAGAACTCTGTGAGTGGAGTTCGGCAACAGCAACATGGGTGTATGAATAGAAATGATAGTAAAATAATAAGCCAAAGTAGTTTTAGAGATTAACATTCTGTCGACATGACTTCGTTTTGTGCATGTTCTCAAGAATATAAAAGTGCAAATGAAATTGAATTCTTTGTGTCAAGTTCACATTTAAAGGTTTAGGGAGTCCCGAATTTCGTACCTCTTTGACTTGCAAATCATTCAGGAAGATATGAGGGCCAGATATAAACTACTTTAAAGATTTTATATCGATTATGATTAAAGACTGTATTACTTTAGTATTTCATCACATGTAAAGCCCGTCAATATTTAGAAGGGTCAACGTAATCAATATCACGAATAATAAGCTCCATAAGCACTTCCCCCCAAAGGCAGTCTCTGTCTAATAGACGACCATCTTCATCTTCGAAATATTCCACATCCAGAACACGATGACATCGAGTGCATTTAAAGCAATTAAGGTGATATAAGCGACCATCTGTAGTGCCCAATTAAAGTTTATAAAAAAAGATCAGAGATCTGCTTAAGATTAATGTTGGAAAGTAAAGTTTTTAAAAGTAAACCGTTTTGATAAGAAGTGATGGGATGCAAGGAGCAAACTCTCAAACCCCATTATCGTACGGAAGGTAATACTGGACGTTGAATGGCTGCAGATGAACTGTCTGGAGAAATTATCAACATGGTTGTTAAATCAATGCACAATGTCTCCGAGTTGTTAGACTATAGAAAGATGATAGGAAGATGAGTAGAAAGAACGAACCATTTACGGTATATTCGTTGACAACAGACCTTTTGCACTTATAGCATTTGGGGCTGAGTTTATAGAAGCAACGAGTGCAGGCCATTTTATTATCAACAATGAAGCTTTCCTCGATGTAGCATATCCGTGTTTCGCAATAGTTGCAGCATAAGTGGTTTACGTGGTATAACTGTCCAAGGGCCAAGATAGCTTCGTTCACAAGTGGCTTTGCGCATTTCCCACAGAGACCTCTTCGAAGCATCCTCAAATTTCACAATTATTTGGAATAACAAATGTTTACAATGCTAATGAATAATCGACCGAGCTAAGAAATCTACATCCGTCCTGTAAATTGCTAATACTTTATCCAACCACATGTGATGTCACTCATCCTGTTAACTTTTGCTTGGTTTATTGGTTTGCACATCGACCAAATCTCAACCTTATACTCTTCTTCCATAGGCTGTAAAATGGAAGGTCAATGAGAAGCCGTTGATAAATTAAGTTGATTTCTCGGCTAATGTGTCGATTTTTGTGTGGCATGGATTGATTAGTGTTTAGATATTGATATAATGAAGCAGTCAGTTGATAAGATGGTTGATATTGCATGATGGGTGATGAGAGTGACTCGAGTGAAGACTGTTTTATGGTACCAGTGCGACATAACTTCAACCCCAAACCGCATCTTGTTACAGTCGTTAAATCCGACACTGGTAATATTTCTTCATTGGTTCGCTTTTTCATCTCTTTTATTCACTTTAAGGTGTAAGGTCGTTTTAATCTTAATTCATTTTGCTTCTTTCATAACTGTTAAATATTACTGTCCACTCTTTTCTATAAAAGGAGAAGAGTGAACAGTCTTCCTTCATTTCATCTTTCTACAGGTTTTGGTTTCAATGTCAAAGGACAGGTCAGTGAAGGTGGTCAGTTACGAAGTATCAACGGTGAATTATATGCTCCCCTGCAACATGTAAGTGCAGTACTTCGTGGAGGTGCAGCTGCGAAAGCTGGTTTATTGAAAGGAGATCGCATTCTGCAAGTGTAATTTTATGCCATATTAATGTTTTATTGAATTCCGTATGATATAGCGACGTTATTTTCATAAGTTTCTGCATTACTATATTAATATTTTTAGTATTTTTGTTTTCCTGTTCTTCATATTAAATCCCATAATATTTTTACAGAAATGGCGTTGATGTAGAAGGAGCAACACACAAACAAGTTGTAGAACTTATAAAAGATGGTGGTGATAAATTGTCGTTAGTTGTGATTTCTGTGGATGCTGTTGATGCAGAGCGTTTTGAAAATGGTCTGACTGAAGAAACTTGTGCATCGTGCAGGTAGTCTTTAAAAAGATAATTACAAACATAATGATAACTATATCTTCACTTTTTGTAAGAAAGGTCATTTTTGATTGGGAATGTTTCTCCGTTTCAGATATGATTATTCTGAAAAGCGTTCATTACCCATAACTATTCCAAGTTATCAGACAATAACAGCAAATGGAGAACGTTTTATTGCTTATAATGTACATATGGCTGGTCGACATCTTGGATCACGACGTTACAGTGAATTTGTTCAATTGCACAATTTACTCAAACATGAATTTATTGATTTTGATTTTCCAAAATTGCCCAGTAAATGGCCATTTTCATTATCGGAACAACAATTGGATGCTCGTCGACGAGGATTGGAGTCATATTTGGAAAAAATTTGTGCTATTAGAGTTATAGCAGATTCAGATATTATGCAAGTAAATATTTCCTTTATTAAATCCTAAAAATGATCCAGCAAACTAAGCTGTGCGAAATTTCTTGCTATAATATCTGACAAAAAAGTTATGTAAAAAAGAATTGCAGGGATCTTCGTTAAGTTGGGTCTGAAAATTAACGCTAATAATTGAAACAATGAACATCAGTTGTACTCAAATGTGATGTTGTTAAGTATGCATAGTTTATATTGAATTTATCTATATTCTAGGAATTTTTGATGGAAGACTCGTTGTCAGAGTGTGCCATTGCTGATGTGCATATTCGTATATTATTACCGGATGGGAATTCTCTTCTATTAAATATTAAGCGTCACTGCACTGCAATAGAATTATATATGGTAATTTTTCTTTCTTCAGCAATTTCCTATTATGTTTTTTATTCACTGTTTCGTAAAAAGTGCTATTCATACTGAAATCATGTTTTATATTTTTTGTTCTATCGCTATAGCTTTATAAAAAGTTTCCTATCTGCATGAATCGGCTAGTTTATTAATTAAATAATCACAACTCTGACAATGTTGGTTCGATGAATTTAACTTGCGAATATATTCACAGCAATATGTCTAGACAAACTCATGCAGGAATTTGTCTATATTTCTTTTTCTTATAGGCAACGCAAAAGCGTTTGAATATGTCTTCAGAAACAAGTAGATGCTGCGCGCTATTTGAAATGGCTGAATGTGGATTCGGTATTCTATTTCATTACTTTAGGTGTAGACGAGATTTTCATTGAATAAAGCTGATTTCGTGCAAGTTATTTCAGTGATATTGAAAGAAAAGAAAAAAGTTCGTAAAACTTTAGATATTTTTAAACTACGAACCAGGATGCTAAATTTGGGAAACTCTTTTTTTTTTTTTTTGTTGCAGAACGGAAGTTAGCAGATGACGAGTATCCACATGCTCTTTATATACAAAATTACTCGTCTGCAGCGTCATCTTGCATCCTACTTCGGAAATGGATTTTTGATATCAGTAGGGAAATTGAACTTTGTGAACGGTATTTTTTTCTGCTTTGATTTAAATGCGAGGCAATTAAATTAATGTATAACAAGAGAATTTGGAATGAATGTGCTGTCCTCACATACGGGAATCTCTACTTAGAGTGTCAGTTCATATTAGCAGTATTTTGCTAATACCATTTTTTCGCTATTTGAAATTTTCAACTTTATTGTATTTTGAAAAATTTCTCTTGAAATCGTTGATTGAATTCAGAATTCATAGTTGTTTTTTTCTCCTCATAATTAATATAGTATATTTTTTTCAGCGATAAGGTGTTCAAAGAATTATGTTTTTGGCAAGCAGTTGCGGATGTAAATGGTGGCCTTGTATCAGCCAAGGAAAAAATGTTTCAGCTCAAGGCATTACAAAGCATTGAAAGGGCTGATAAGGTCATTTTTATCACGTACAATTAATTGTTGAGCCACCTTTATACTTGGTCATTCATTTTGCATGAGATATTTGTTTATCCAATTTTGAATTGTGAAAGGATGCTACACACTCAACATTGAAACATTTGAAATCAAATTGGTGATAGCAATCTGTTTTGAATCTCTGTCTAAGAAGTTATGTTTGCAGTATTTGAATATGGTGCGCGCAATGGATGGTTACAATAGAATTGTTTTTCCTCACTGTAGTTGCGGCAGTCGTAAAGATGGTGATATTATATTAGGAGTTGAGTTTTCCCAGTTGACCATACATGCATGCGATTACGAGGGTAATCTTCAGGTCTGGTTTCATGTTTAGTTTTTTAAGAATATTGGCTTGAAAAAATTGATCAAATTTAGTCAAATTTTCTCCTTGTGAATTGTTTTTTATAATTTGAAAGGATAATAAAGGAGTTATTCTTGAATATATGTAATTGCGAATAATACCTTCTGAACAGTGGGTAACATTTAGGAAGAAGTGCTTGTATTCGATTGGGCTGACATTTTGGAATACAAAGTTGTTGACAATGGTGCTACATTTGCATTTGAATATGCACGTTCACAAAAGAAGCCAAAATCAGTCAAATTAAGCACTCAATTTGTGAGTATTTATTTTTCCATACTGAATAACTTCCATAATTGAATTTTTATACCTTTCAGTTAAATAATATGAGAATCTGTAGGAAGATACGCTAACTTCTCCTCACATTTCTATGTTTTGTCGCTGTCACTGTCAGGTTTGTTTGTTAATAAAGGTTTGTTGCAGGCGGTGTATATGAACTTTTGCTTTTCACGAATACTCGAGGAACGTGAAAGACGCGCCGGATTGATTTTTTTCAAAGAGGAATATTAAATCCTTTGGTTTTAGAGTTTTTCAAAATTAGGTTGTCTTGCTAAACTTTAGAACTTGGAAATCAACAATTAATAGTATCAAGATTTATTCAAAACCATTTGCTATGTTTACTTATTTATTTGACTTTGCATAGGTATGAAAATTAAAACTAACAGCTTGCATTTATGAATGTAAAGGTACAGCAGAAAGACCCAGATGGAGAATTTTGGGAAACATGACAATACTGAATGAAGTTTTGCCATATGCAATGATTATAGTGTTGTGCTTGTTTCTTCGAAATTACAACTTGTACTAGATTCCATGTACATGGACAGTACGTTTAGATTGTAGATTAAAAGATCGAAGGACTCAAAATAATTTTTGTCACTAACTGAGTGCAGAAATTTTTATGATCCTGAGCAAGAGTCGGTTATGCTGTTATTACAGTTTCACCGTTTAAACTACTCCCAATTTTAGTAGTTAAATGAAAATTTTAATTAGAGAAATTATGTAAGCCGGATAAAATTCAAGTATCTTGTTCACTTGTTGCACTGTTTCATTCTTTCTTAGTTTATGCTTGTATTTCTGAAATATTCAATAGAATGAGACCACGTCTAATTTCTAAAATGAGTGTTAGTTTAATTGTTGGATCTGCTGACATATAACTTTTTTCATTCACAGTTAGATATCGTTTTGTTCCAGCACCATCTTTGAAATACTTTATATCTGAGCGAATGTATGGTCTAAGGATGTAATGCAAAAATTTCTTACATTCATTCAATGTATGCTAATGATTTTTCTATTGTTTCTAGACATTATTTACTTAAGCCCATTCATGAAACTCTCCATCATGCATAATGCGGAATTTTTTGACAATTCTTTTCAAGGGTAAAATTGTTTTTAAAACTATGCATTTTTGTTCAATTATATATTTTAAATACTATTGCTTTTCTTATATCATTTCATTACTCACTAAAGTTATTGTTCCGACTTACCGGGTTTTTATCATTTCTTAATGTTAAATTATTATCACATAATTCACTATTATTGTTCAACCGATTTTTTTTCTCACATTCACATGATGAACACTTTTTTATACTCCTGTATGTGCACTACTCATTCTAACGTCTGTTTTTCCTGTGCTTTCGTATTGTTCTCAAAGTTTCGTTTTGATACATTCTTATATATGCAATGTTTTTTTTTTATTTTGACATCGTCATATTTTTATAAATTGATCAAGCATTGTTTTTGCTGTTCCTAAAAGGTTTTCTATGATACCTATTACTTCCATGTGATTAATTTCTAGTGTACACTGAGATTTTTCCAGTGTGGAGTACTACCTCCCAATACTAGTGATTCGCATAGGAAACAGCGGAAAATTCTATGGGATTCTTTTATTCCTCAAGTTTGGTTTTAAGAATTCAAAAGCATTAAGCTAAATAGCATGTTACATTATATTATTTACTCGAGTTCAACTAATTTAATTGTATACCTATTTATGTAATATGTTTTACGAATTGATATCCTAAATAAGGTTTAATTTTTTGGTGAACATATATAGTTCTAGCCTACTTGGTAATTTTGTCAAGTTTTGCAGTTTGAAGTGATGGGATTTCGAGATGCCGAAAGAACAACTGAATGATGTTTGACGGATTGGGTGAAACACAACAAACCCAACAAATTCCATTATATGATTTGGAACTGTCTGATGATGGTTCTTCCTCGCTGATTAGTGAGCGTGAAAAACGGCAAGGTGCTAATTTAACTATAATATTGTCTGCAGTTCTTATTATCATATAAAATACTGAAGTTTTCAGTAGAATCCTCACGCTGTTTTCTAGTTGATTTTAGTTGCCACAACATGCTTTTCCGTGTTGTGATGTGTTCAGAAAAGTGATAGAATCTTCATAAGTGTGAGGTCATGTTGTCGCTTTCACTTCCAGTTTTGTTAGGAGACACCTTTCTCTTTTCAAAACCAAATTGGCTATAACCAGGTTCAGTTTGAGCTCCATCAGTAGAGCTCTATCGTTGAACTACAACAAATTGACACCCTCGGTTTCCTCTGCAAACATGTTTAGTTTCATGTTCTGGACGGCGTCGAACATCAGGGATCAGGCAACGGCAGGGCTCATCGACATCATCGACACAGGTCTCTTCATCTGTTGCCAATAACGGGTTACAGCGTGCACACAGTTCACCGTTACCAGCTTATCCAGTGAGCATACGTCAGCAACTGGCTATCATAAAACAGGTTTAATTAACTTAATTCTCTGTGTAGGATTTATGACGTTATGTTATTTCTCTTCTTTAATTAAGTTTAAACAGATTTCGCTTGTTTATTAATTATTGTTTACTGAAAGAGTTGTTCAGCAGGATAAGGAAAAATTTTTGAAGTGAAATTAATTTCCATCATAAAAATGCTACATTTCTTTTAGAAGTTTAAAGCATCAGCTCCTAATTAATAAAAGTTAATATATAGCAAAAAGAAATCAGTTTGAAAGTTGCAACTTTAACGTTTGAAAAGATTTCTGTCATGGTAAATTTTCGAGCATTAATTTCTGAAAAATTGTGAGTTGTGAATTGTGAATTCACAAACTCACAATTTTTTGTGAATTTTTGTGAATTTTTTCACAAAAAAAAAAAATTGTGAATTTTTTATAGTATCGGCATACCACTTCAAATATATCTAAAGAAATAATATTAAAAATTGATTTACTGTGCTTTGTTTTGTAATTTATAAACATTATATTCTAAGCAAATGTTTACTTTCGTTCGTTTCAGGTTTTAGATATTAAATTGATAATGTTTATGTAAGCTGTAATTTGATTATGATGCTTTACATTTTGATGACTTTCAGTTGAACTCTTCCTAGTATTTCCAGTAACTTTTTAGCGATTGAGCTAACAGTTATAGAGAGATTACAATTTTTTTTTTTTCATTTGATCATTAAAATCAATTAATCTCATAAAATCTCTAATGGTTTATTAACTCTGTTAAATTGTAAGAAACGAGTGCTTTTGTGAATGAACCTTATTAGCAAATTCATTTGAACAGTATCTAGTTGTACGGAATGACATAATTCATTGCCCCTCCAATTTGCTGAACGATGGAAAGTGCGACTGGTGTCCTCGTCTGTATTTCGATTAATGTGACTAGCTGTTGCTGCGATACCAACTGTTGCCAAACTCACATAACTACTAACTTCTTTCTCCGCCTTCCATTCTCTGTATCTCCTTCTCCATTTTGCTGTTGTTGTCATCACCACATTCTTTCTGTTTTCGATTTTTTTCTAGCCGATCAGATTCCTTGACTTCCTCCAAACCTTATCAAAATTTTATCCTCATCACGAAGCATCATAAAAGACTTCAAGAATTTGCTGTAATGTGTATTTAACATCTACGAAATCTTTCGTTAGAAAATGTTTCGGAGAGAAAAGGAAAAGATTATGAACTAGTATAAGAAAAGTCACTAGTAATGTGTACTCTCTAATGATCGTATTTTGATCTTACATAGAAATCAGTCTTTTTCTGAATGACTTTGTTAATTAATATTTGATAAATGTAAAAACAGGAGACATCATTATTCCAAAATTCAAAGAGTCAATGTCATATCATCCCTCTTTTGGAGAATTACTTCCTAAAATTTTTTATTCAACCACTTCAGCCTTTTAATTTTCAGTAACAAATTATTTTTTAATTCTTTAAGAAATTCTTACATTTCTTAAGTTTTGCTTACACTTCGAAAAAATAGAGAAATCTATCTTGCTATGCTTTATTCTTTATTTTATGAATACAACTGTTAAGATAGCATTTCCGTAGGCTGTGTGAAATAATAAATCCTATAATAAGTTGAAATAAATTATTCCATCTCAATTTTAACTTATTCTTTGTTCATTTTTTTAGAGGTGTAAATTGTGAGTTTAAAGGACTGTTGTATTAACCTTAATTTCGCTCTAGGAGTTTGTCATCTTATGAAAAAATGAAAGAAACCATAACATTTCGATAGAAAAAACTAAAATATTTGTTCTTTGTGTAAATGTGAATGGATGCAGCTATAATGTTTTTTTTTATTGTTTTTTGAGATGGAAGAACCAATGCAAGTAGCGGCGGACTCGTCTTCACTCAGTTTGCAGTTACCTCAGACAAGCACTGGGTCACCTGGCTTATCAAGAAGGCGTATTTCGAGGGTATTTGGTCTTGCATAATTCATATTGGTTAAACCGTTGTTGTGAATTGATCAGTTTATATTTATTGCAATATTTTGAAGGTTCATAAAAAGAATGAACGTGGTGAGACACCATTGCATGTAGCAGCACGTAAGGGAGAACACCAACTGTGCAAGAAGTTAATCGAGGAAGGTGCAGTTATCAATGCTCGGGATTATGCTGGTTGGACTCCCTTACATGAAGCATGCTATCATGGGCATTTCAAAGTTGCTAAACTTCTTCTTAGGTATGTTAGTTTTTCATTACGAAAATTGTATGTAATTCATCAGAGTATGAACTGAGTGGCTTCGGCAGTTTTCAGCTACGATGCAGATGTTAATGCGCTGTCAGATTGTGATGACACTCCTTTACATGATGCTGTCACGAGTGGAAATGAAAAGGTGAATTTTAATCTCTATAGTTATTAGAAACTATTTTATTAAAAAATTTTTAATTAAAAACCTAACTTTTAATTTTAATTAAAAAACTTTTTCTTTAAACAGCGTGTCTCGCTGCAAATTGCTATTCACTTTTCTTATTTTCAGTAACAAAAATGTGTTTACAGTTGGTTTGGTTGTTGTTACACGCGGGTGCAAGTCGTGATCGTATTGACAATGATGGGAAAAAGCCGATTGATATCTGTCACTCAGAGTATAGTGGAATAAGAAATCTTCTGTCCGCTGCTACCATCCCGGAACTGTGTCTAGTGGATGAGTCACCTTCTCTAAGTCCATCTAGTCCAAGTCACATAGTAAGAGATTTCCTAAAATTTCTACTCGGTTTTAAGTGGTCAGATTCATTTATTGAATTTGTGAAAGTTGGAACATAATTTTAATGTAGCTGAAAATGCGCACAGAACTATTGCACAAAACCTAGTTTGATGTCATAACATTACTTCATCAATATTTGAAATGTATAGAGAGGTATGTAAATCGAAGTACAAAATCTTGATACAACAATAATGAGAAGTAGTTGGTTTGTTTTTGTTTCTTAGGGTGGAATGATGGTGTTAGGAAAATGAAAATGTGTGTTAGGAAATGAAAATATAAAAGGGCTGGATAAGGAGTAACTTGAAGGCTCTGGAATCGAATAATTCGAAAGGTATGTTATACTGGATAAGCGTATCATTTGTCTAAGTCGCACAGTATAAAAGTTTCAGCAAGGTTCGTCCCAGGTCTTTACGGCAAATCTAATACAGCTTAGTGCAGAGAAGCAATGCTTAATATCACCGAATAGTGATGATTTTGTAGCTAATGCAGAAACTTTTTCGAGAGGGAGAGACGGAGAAATCAGTGAAGAGCTGGGAATGCAGTTACAAGGTTAGTAGACCCGTGCATCCAAAATGAATGGTTGAGTGTTAGTAATGCAGTAAGTTCGAATGTGTACAAGCTAAGTTGAATTGCTTAACTTGACTTGTTATACTTTCTTGTCTAGAACTATTCAGCTAAGTTGAATTGTAAAACTGTTCGTTAATGTTCGCAGAAAAATAGTCAACATCACTAGTTAGTTGCTACTGTGGATTTTTTTTTAATTAGCGAATTAATGTATCTTCCATTTTTCCATGTTCTCGGATATTGTTACTTATTGCCCGAAGATGAGTAACTATATTTTTTTTCTGGTATTCATGAATAGGTTTTTCGTTTGTTTTCAAAGTGCTCTTTAACAGTGGTTTTTTAGGATCACGCAGTCAGTTGTTGAGTGGAGGAGATTTCGATAAGAACACAAAAGTTTTATATTTTTGTTACTTTTCTTTGTTTTTCTAAAACTATTCTTAATTTTTATTTTAAAGTTACAAAAACGAAAATTGTTTCAAAGTTTCCTGAAATCAAAATATTTTGGCAACAAGTTATGGTCGCTTAATGGTTGTTTTTCAGTCCCCTGATTTTGACGATGTTGTATTAAGGGATGAAGAAGTGAGAGTCGGAATTCGTCATGATTTTGATGACATGTTAGTATTTCATCTTATTTCTAACTAACTTTAAATAAGTTTGTTGGAGCCCTAGAATCGAAATGTTATTTGAGTATTTTGTAAAATATTGACAATAGTATTGTTTGCAGCGGTCACTCATTATCTGTGCATCGTTCATTGTGGCCTGAAGAAAGAAATGATGCATTAAAAAGGGTTGGATTGCATACTGGTTCTTCACCATATGAATTTGATCATGATCTATCGCCATCTCATGTCTCGTTTGAAAATGCTTGCTTTGGAATAAACGAATCAAACGAAGCAGAAATTCGCAATCTTGAACATCCACGTAATACATACACCGAACGTTTCTCTCCTCAGTATACATCTCAAAAATCAACTTATGAAAAGCGCAAACAAAGGTGTATTCATCCTTTTGACCGGTTTTATTGTAAACTCAAGGCATGCAATCTTCAGTGCAGTTTTTTCCTATCCTTTTAAATAAAAAATGCAGTTAATAGTTGCACTAATTAGACGAGTTTTTGTCATCTTCTGCATTCATTTATCATCTCATCATTGGCGTAGTTTTGAAATTGGACTTAATTGATTTTTTTTATTGCTGTCATCAGAAATTTTTTTTACCCGGTTCACCACGTTTTTGATTGTTGTAGAGGTCGAAGACGAGGACGAGACATCTCTGTGACTGCAGGCTGTGGTACTATGGCTCAAGCATCTCAGTCTGATGATGTGTATGAATTTCGCAGTAGCCCGGAATCAGATGTAGGTGTAAATGTGAGCTTTTTATTATTTTTAGTGCTTTTTTCTCCACATTTTTGATATATCGAACGAAATATTTCATATAAACCAGCCTGAAGATGACAGTATCTTAGTTAAAAGAATACGTAGAGGAGAGGGATTATGTCGTTTTAAAACACTTAAATAAGTATTGAAAATGTGGATAGTGTTGAAGGAGAGAGATTTTAACGAATTGTGAGTAAAATTAACATATGAATTATGAGTAAAAGTAACATGTGAACAAACGTTATATATTGTGGTGAAGATAGTAATGGAAATTGAATGGGGGAAGACTGGTAGTTAAGCAGATTAACATGCCTTATTGTTCCGTTGGTGACCTCAATATCTCTCTCAGCATTTGTTACAACTATCAACCTTTTGATATTCGTTTTAAACGATTCATCGTCATACAATGCTATTTCAAACCAGCTGTTGCATGTTTGATTGCGCACCACGGTTTGCTTTTTTATTGAGTATTATTGCTCATGTTTGTTGAATCACTTCGCCAGGAATTATTCGTTGTTGGGAAATTTGCAATTCTCAATATCGATTTTAACCTGTCCATAGCCATTGATAAGACTTGTATCTTGGCTTTCTAGTAAAGCAGGCGTACTTTCACACTAGTCGCTAGAAATGATAGTTATAATTGGCAAGCAATGATGAACCGTACTTTCTAAGTTAATTAACGTTAGTTGAGCGCTAAAATCGCTGTCAATTAGTTTGACCAGCATTCGCTGGTTGGTAGTAAAGAAGTCATAGAAATAGCAAAAGCAATAAACACAGTGTTTCTGTTATTCTTGGTTCATACGAGCTGGCATTATCATTTCATTCAGTTTTTTTAATGTACAGAATATTAATTTGATTTATTGTTAAACTCATACAAAATATTACGATTAATTGGATGAGGTTAGATAATTTTTTGAAATTAAAATAGGCTAATATGATGCATTCAAATGAAGAGTACTACTAACTCATGTTTAAGATTTTGTGTGTAATTAAATTGTTGCAGAAGACAGAATCTGTTGGAGATATGGAACGAGAATTGAGCGAATCGCCAAATTTGAAGAGGCAGCGATTTAACCAAACTGAAACGACTACTGTAGCCCCTTTCGCTTCAACTGCAATTTCTGAAACAAGTATTTTTCCTTTCATATTCTTATGTATGGTATTGGCTGCTTCAGCATTTTACGTTAAAGATTGTTAAGGATTTGCAGTGTTTTTTTAGTTTTGTAGAGTTTTGAGGGAGCTTAGGTCAACTTTTTAAAAAACTTGAATTTTGTGAATACCAGGTTCTACCCAAGAAGGTATATCCATACTAGAAAAAGGAGAAGCTTTGGATATAGCATCAAATATATCTGATTTGACGGATGAGAAAGCTGATGGAACAACGGTTGGTCGTAAGGTAATTCTCTAAAATATAGTTTTATCTAATTTTGATAATCTTTTATCATGCTGTTTCTTATTATCATGTTATATTTGTATACCTTTGTATACTTACTTTCATTACGGTGAAAAAAGAAAGCTTCTGTAGTCCGAGAAAAAGGATTGAATTAGCATTGATGTCCGATAAAGTTAATTATTTATGTTTCAAAAAGAAATACGCTTTTTTGGTGCATTGGTGCATTATTGACAAAATTTTTAATAGGGGAAAAATTCTTATTCTTTTTGCTCCTCATCTAAGTCAAATTTGTTTCTTTAAAAATAAAAATAAGGTTTTTCGTTTTCTTTTTTGCTTATGTCTCTCCCGAATGCGAAGTAAAGTCAAAATCTTATGATTTCATGAATTCATTCAGGTACCTCCGCTTCGCATATCGCTACCCCGTACACCCACCGAAGATGGCACAGCGCTGACAAGTTCTGCGGATGATGTGACGTCCGTTGCGATGAATGCTATAAGACGAAATACAAGAAGTACCAAAAGTATTACTCGCAGAAATCAAAGCCCTGAACAGAGTGTCAACAATACTTGTGATGAAAGCATACAACGTGTTACAAGGTTTAAGTTTTCTTAACATGTGTTTCTTCCAGATAAAGTGCAAAAAACAAATGTTGCTCTTTATCAAACAAATCGTTACAGATATCGGCCATTTTCTGATTAGAAGCTGATTTTAATTGGGGTTTTTTTTTTGCAGTTTTTCTTTTCTTTTTCTGACACAATAGTTTGTAACAAAAGTGACGAAGTATTTGTAGAAGCAAACTTCGACAATCCGGGCGACAACTTCGTGACCATTCTTCAGTGAGCTTTGAAACGTCAGCGAAGAGAAAATCTAATAGCTGGCGACGTAATTCTGCAGCTATTGGATCGCCAATGCCCGCGCTCTCAGCGGCAACTTCCGATGAACAGACTTCTAGCAATGATACTGGCGATAGAGCTGATGGTTTATTTCTCTTACAGCATCAGTTTCCTTTCATCTTTTAATAAAATTGAGTCTATGTTTGAAGAAGAGTCACTTATATCATTAGTATTAGTGGCAGATTTTATTCTTGCTATTTTGTCTTATAAACTATATAATCCAAAAAAAAATTACAGCCGATGAAAGCTCACATTTGGAACTGGCTGCGCTGAAGGAAGATGAAAATGCGTTATTGGCTTTGTCATTGATGAAAAAGAACAGCTATGAAGGTTTTCGAGACTTCCGTTGTGTAGTAAGATTTCGAATCTTATTGTGAAAATTTTCGGTTTTGTTGTCATCATTCGTACTACAGCATTTCTCCAAACGAATTGTTCTAGATTGAAGAACGCTGGGCCAAAGACGCAACGGAAGAGATTGTTGCTCCAGAAAGTCCACCTAATTTTAAAAGTTATTTGATTGTACAAGGAAATTACACATCCGCAAGCAATTTAGACTTACTATCATCTCAAGACGTGAGCTGTTTTCCAAAGATGTTATGATTAGTTTAGTGCTTCTTATAGTAAAAGATAACTGCAGGTAAGATGGGCTGTTAGTTTTATAGAAAATAAATTGTTCTTACGAGCTTTGTTCTTTTTTATTCACTAAAAATAATTGTAACTGTTACTTTCATCTTAAGTATTCGTTGATGGGGGACACAGAACAGCACAAATTTTCTTTTATATTTGTTTTTAAAGGCTAATTTTTCAAATGGTTTGCTTTCAGAAAGTTGATCTTGCGTTTATGGAAAAATTGACAATAAAGCTTCGTAATCTTCACACTGAACAGCAGGAAAAGAGGCGAAACATGTATTTTTATCACCAGGTAAGAGTGTTTCTTATGTTTCTGATTTGTGCATTTTCATTTTTTAAATATTTTTCAGTACAAAATCATGCTTAACTTATTTCATTCCATTATTTCGAAAGATTACTTATAAGGTGGAACGTGAACGATTACAAATGCAAGCAGAAAGTGAAGTAATACGTATGCTTACGCGAAAGGCAAATGGACATAATGGATCCTTTTCGACGAGTAAGGCTGATCGTTTTTTAAATTTGTTGTATTAATCATTTCTATTCTAGAAGTTTCAATATCGAATTCAAATTTCATATGGATACATGACTTTGTTGTGGAGCATTTGAAAATTTAATTATTAAGTTGGGAGAAATTGCTGATTTCGGCGCAATTCGTGGATGTAGATGTAGATTGTGGGGTAACAGAGGAATATAATAGTTCCTTTATTAGCAGAATTATTAGCAATAATACAATAACTTGATAGAGAATTGAAGTTGAACTTTTTTGGTTCTTGGTAAAACCACACAATGCCCTTTTTACAAAGGTGACTTCCTTATATAGCAAGCAATATGCGTAAACAAAGTATATGATTTACAATAAGAGGTTGACCTACCGAAAGAGTAGTCGGTCTAGTAAAGAGCTGTTGACCTTGTTTACAAGCAGGGCTAATTCCTAGTTGACAAGCCGTAAAGGACATCAGTTAAGCAAAAGTTGTTAACCTTGTAGATTCAAGGATAATTTTACAATTAGTGGCGACACAACAATGAGGTCAACTAAATGAGGAGCTGATACCGTCTAAACAATACATAAAAGATTTGCAGACTAATAAGATTGCAAAGAGTTATAAGCCTTGTTTACAAGATTTCATATAACATATTTCTTACTCATATTCTCAACTCCCATATAGTATTTTAGACTCCCTGTTGCATTTTAAAGTGTTTTTTTTTTACGAATTGTTCCTTTAGTGAGGGTGATTCGAGAAACGAATTTGTTCAATACTGGTTTTTTGGAAGTGAAGCCAAAAAAGTTACCAATTATGGAAATTTCGGAAGTGAAAGTGAAATATGAGAAACTTGCAGAGATAATGCTCAGACGGCAGCAAATGGAGGCAGATGCACTATATGCCGAACAGGTTCCTTGTCTGTATGTCGTGAAATGTATTGACTGCCAGATATTTTATTTGCCTCAGGGAGTCTAAAACAATTAAACCAAATAAAATCAACATTATAACAACGCGCAACGTATAGATATTATAAAGGATATAATACGATTATAAAACACTAAAATACAAAAAAAAAAAAAAAACCACCTAAAAATGTAGAATGAATAACAGTTAATAGGGAAGGTTAATTAGTTTATATACAGAACTAAACTGGCAATCCGAAAAACCGGCGGAAACATAATGTGAACAATTTTGTTGTGTGATTAGCATAATGGCTTGAAGATAATTACAAATGCAAAAATATTTGATGGATTGATCCATCATGCATCTGGCAAGAAATATTAGAATTTGAATACTTAAATGTATCGTTTTTACGACACTGTATGACTGTTTTTTAACTTAGTGAATGTCATCACAATACAATAAATTGCAGCTTAAATTTGAAATTACAGATATTTATTTGGAATGCGGCAGTTCAGAGAAGCGAAGATGTAACATTATCAAGTTTGAAAAATGCTATACCACATGTATCAGTTAACCCAGTAATTCTAAATTTTTAACAGTACTGATGTTCAATATTTCTGAGCAAAAGCTGTGTTGGTATTTGCTTTTTTCATTAATTTTTAGTCTGCTTTAATATTTTTTTTCAATTTTCAGTCGCGTATATGAGCTATGTTTTCATATATATATATATATCAGACTAATGACTGAGAGATTAAAGACATATGGGATGTGGCCTATATTCTTTATTAAATAAATAATCCAATACGACTGTTAATTTTCGTTTTATTGAAACTCTTAGCAGGTGAATTAACGAACTGAATAATTGGGTGGTAATTTGAGTCTAAAAGGTGGTGTGCAATCTTGCTAGAGTTGTTGCTAAGAAAAAGTGTTGCGTATGTTCATATGAAATGATATCTGAGCAATTAAGTTTCTTACAGGAACTATGTGCTCTTGTTACTGTTAAAGTTTAAATTGTACTGATTTTATTATAGTTTAATTATTACCATTGTTAGTCTTTTTTTATTATTCTTTTGCAGTTTTTTGTACAATAATTCATCAATAGCTTTTTTCAGAAACGGAGTCAGCATACATTGGCTTCTCGTCTTGACATCAGAGACGGAGTCAGCATACATTGGCTTCTCGTCTTGACAATAATATTATCCGTAATATTTTAAGGGACTTCGAGTAAGGCCAGATGAAGTATCTTGTACTTTCTGACATTTTGATCAGTGATAACATATAATTGGTGACTTCATTTCCCCTGTGATTCCAGAAAGAAGTAGATGGAAAACTCCAAGAAACCTTTCAGCACATTTATGTTTGTGTTGGTCGGCTTTATATGTACTCAAGTTATTTAATTTCCAGATTTTCAAGTTTTTCATATATTTTATTGGAAGATAAAGTTTTGATCATTGAATTCTGTGCCAAAGTGGAGTTATCTGTATTCAAGATTTCTTTTGGAGAATTACTCTATACTTGGCCGGAAAGTTTATTGCAAAAAATACACTGTATGGGACATTCCAACTATGCAAACTGCTTAAGCCTAAACTGTGGAATATATATAATTTCTTTGCTATTAAGTTTTTATGTTTCTTCCTAATGTATCAGTGTGAAAAGTGCTATACCACTTGTACCAGTTGGCCAAGTAATTCTAAAATTTTAAGAGTACTCATGTTCAACATTTCTGAGCAAAAGCTGTGTTGGTGTTTGCTTTTTTCATTAATTTTTAGTTTGCTTTAGTTTTTTTTTTTTTTTTTTTTTTTTTTCAATTTTCAGTTGTGTATATGAGCTATGCTGAATAAACATATGAGCTATGTTTTCATATATATATATATATATCAGACTAATGACTGAAAGATTAAGGACATATGGGGTGTGGCCTATATTCTCTATTAACGAACTGAATAACTGGGTGGTAATTTGAGTCTAAAAGGTGGTGCGCAATCTTGCTGGAGTTGTTGCTAAGAAGAAGTGTTGCGTATGTTCATATGAAATGATATCTGAGCAATTAAGTTTTTTGCAGCAACTATGTGCTCATGTCACTGTTGAAGTTTAAGTTGTACTGATTTTATTATAGTTTAGTTATTGCCATTGTTAGTCGTTATTATTTTCTCATTTTTTTGTATAATCACTATTTTTTAATACCTAATTCTTTATAATAATTTATAACATCTGAAACCTAATACATTTAATCATGAAATGAATTATTCGGGAATGCAGAATAATTGTGTCTTTATTCAGTTATATTCAATGTTCAATTTAGAGTCCATACACGTTATCCCATACAATATTTACGGATGTATTCACCAGCATTCACTTTACGTGGTTATGCAAAAATGATATTGCATGCTTATAAATATCCACATCGGCCAGTTGTTGGTTTCCTTATCGGTGAGAACAGGGTAATGGAACTTTTTGAAGTATTTGTAAATGAATAGTAGAGTAAATGAATTTAAATTTGACGACCTAAATCTGTCTTTTAATGTAGTTGCTGTGAAGTATTAGAGAAAAATTAAAGATTTAGGTATTGTGGTTACGAATCAGTTAATGCATTCAGGAGGTAAGATTTCGTAACTTGTTAGAACTGTGTATGATAGCAGATTTTTTAGAATAATGAAGTGATATGCACTGACGCCATACCCGTATTGCATGAAAGCGCATCTCTAAGTGTAGCCCTGGAAGCAGCTTTGATATGTATAGATGATTGCACCAAAGATGATCGTACTCTCGCTGGACTCTATTTTTGTAACCAATCGCTTTCAGATAATAGGTAAATGTTAATTCCTTCTACAAAACGTTGGACTTTTCCTTTTTCCTGAAATGGCAATCTTCCTGTTCGGAAATATTTTTTCGAGTTAGTTTTTGGACATTCATTTCAGTCTTGATCCTTATGCAGTGCGAGTAGCTGAAAAAATTGTTTCGAATTATCCGAACACTTTCCTCGTTCAAGTGATTTTTTTTATTATTTTGAAGATTTTATAAGATTATGATAAAGAATTAATGGGAAAAGGAGTGGTCTCTTTAATTAGCAAAATCATCGGCGTGTTAAAGTGTTCTATTTTCGGATGATGGCATAACTATACATAGGATTATTGTTCAGATGGCTATGTTATTGCTTAACATTCAATTTATAGTTTAGTCGTGCGTAAGCCTTTGTAAAATATAATGTTTATTAGCCTTAAAATACAATGCTAGATTTTTCTTCACACTAATTTTCGACTAAACATTGACTAACTAGTCTATTAGTATAGTTATAAAGTCTTTTCTGAAATATTAATTCCTTACAAACTGATTTATTCAATACGACTTATGAAAAGTGTTCGGAAAGCTACAGTAGTATCTGAAATTTGTGTTGCAGATCGGCAATTCCCTTCTTGGTACTGGATTGTTAGAACCTGCTATTCAGGTTTACGCTTTGGATAACAAATTGTGGAAGATAAAAAGGTATTTTTATTGCTTCTTTTCTCACAGCCAAATATAAATGTTTCTTTGGTAGTTAAATCGGAAACTTAATATTACGTGGCAGATTTTGTATTGTTGATTTTCTCTCTATTATGCATATTATGTAATTGCTGAAAAATCCAACGTTATGATTGAGTTTTCATGTGCGAATAATTCCAGATTCACTATACTTAACGAAGAAACAGTGTTATCAGTCGTTTCTAGTGCCGTGCAGACGAAATTATACCTTGAAATCATGGATTTTGAAAATCATTTGGATAATCCTGTTAATGACCACTGGAATACAGCACTAAATGAGAAGCTGGAACGGTCATCGTACCGAAATGCTTGCAGTTGATCTCATCTTCAACCTAGTCATTCTCTACTTTGCTCTTATTACTTTGAGATTATGAAAAAATTTTCTATGAAAAAGTATGTGAAATATAAAGGCTTTTTACTTATGAAAGACCACATTTCTTAAACATCGATCCAGGTGAATTTCTCAGATAGATGCAGTCATTTCTAATTAGACTTCTAATTAGACAGCGCAAAAGGTATTGGTATTTATAATGATCTGATGAACACAGTCTGCTGTGATGGTGCACTTATATTATGTAGAGCTGAATTTACGTTGTCCTCATTTGTTCGTCGAGGAGTAAAATACCCATCGTTTGAGGGTTTATTTGCATCAGTGCAATTTCTCACTTTGTCATTATGTGAGTATTATTCGGAAAAAATTTGTACAAAGCATGGAGGATCAAAGTGCGATTTGATAGCATTGGTGAATTTAACGTACGCGTCAATTTGAGTTCTCTTTCAATACTTGTTCCGTCTCTGAACAAGGAATTATTTGCAAATCGATTCCAGATGGTGGATTAGGAAGTGTTGAGTACAGTATTTCTATTTCTCACAAGATGCAAATCAGTTTGGAAGATTTTAATTTCTGATTCTCTGAGGAAATTGAATTCATTCTCCAATGCATGTTCACTCTGGTTGGTTTATTCACATTGGGCACCTTTCAGAGATTTTTTGAAAACATGTTCATAATCTCTGGTGACAAATTTACTCTTATATTATGCAGCCATCTGTTTCAGGATTCTGAAGATGTTGATAAATGTATTGCGCAGGCCAAAGCAAAGAGCGCTCAAGAAGTTAGAAGAGCTGTATTTTATTGCAGAAAATTGTCGACGATCGGTTACCGGAGAGGAATCTCTTGTCGATAAACGTAAGTTATAATGTTAACATTCCTGGAAAGTCTCGGGAATCATGTATTAAAATTTATTTTACAGGCAAAGAGTTTTGGATGAAATGTGGTGTCTTTTTCCCACCATTTTATCCGAGTCCGAAACCAGCTCCCCGAAACGCTTATGAACGAATGTTCACTCACGGCACTAGGTTTTTTTTTCAGGATTCCTTATGATATTACCTTAATGATCTTTAACGTGAATGACTAATTCAATTTCGTCTTAGCATTGCCTTTTTTCAGAGAAAACGATCTTATACGCATTGTATCTAGTTTCCTTCTCTGTGAATTTGTTGGTCTGTTATTCTTCGTTTCTATTGCTCTCAAGTATTCCGTCTTTCCCAGTCGGTATTAGTTTTTGTCTTATCTTCAATGAACTAATCACTTACACTTATTGTAGATGCAATCATTTGCCTTGCTTCAGTGTTTACTGCGCTTTATTTCATGAGGGAACTCAAAAGAATTCACTAATCAAAGTTCATTATAGATTAGGAGTATATGTAAGTATCGTTGTGCAGTTAATATTAAGTTTGATGATACCATTCCCATCCATTCGAGCCATTATCCTGATTGCTGCAGTCAAATTAACCACTAGCCGTCTTCGTTCCATTATTCTCATGTTTATAATAGTATGGGCATTTCAAGTCAGTTTCTGTTAACAGTTTTTCTATTCTTTGCCAAACCTTACATTGTTTTATTGCTATATTTTGATTTCAAAAAAGATAAAAAATCAAGGATCGTCGTTGTTTTAATGATTTGATATGAATTATTTTTAAGACTGCAGAATGTTACTTGATGGACTGATTACTTCTAGATGTTTATCATCTGCAGATATCAGCAACTAATACAACTCGTAATTTGCAAATGCTCGCAGAATCTGCTGCTTGCGTGAGTGACTCGGCGATTCAAATTGGTAACAAACTTGTTAGTGAAGTTAATATGCAAACCAATAAGGTTGTCATTGATTTGTTTAGAACGTCGGTATGTAGTGTTTTCTGAAAAACAATTGCAAACAGAATATTGAGTTTCCGATTCTGTCTTTTTCTACACTGGATTTTTAGAGAAACATGAATTTGTTTTCTTTTCAGCTTTCACTATCAGGATTAAAAGAACAAGGTCGTTTTTTCATAAAACATCTTGAAATTTTTCGAAATACCATGCGCAAGTTGCAAGATATTGTTGTTAAGTAAGCTCAAGTTTTCCCAAGTTAGTTAGTGATTCGTATCTATATTTGTGGTCAGTGAATTCCTTGGGCTTTATTTTAGGTTCGGTAAGCAGACAAAGGATTACTTGGTACAGTTGCTCACAGTTAAAGAATATTGCCAGCGATTCTTCATTGGTCCCTATTACTTTGTGAGTATTTATGATATAAGGTTATAAAAAGTAGCCTTACTCAAAGTAGTCATCATTCCTAAGGAGACAGAAGAATTTGGGAGATAAAAATCAGCGACTGATTTTAGCACCGCATGTAATCATTCTTCAGAAATGCATTTTCCAGTGTCTTCGAATTTTTGATGAGAGCGCTCAGTATTGTGATCGACTTACTCTGTATCGTGGATTACCAGTTTGTAAATTTGTGAAGGATATGAGAATGGTCGTTCTTTCTTACTTCCAATGTTTTTTGCTATCAGTCTCTTAAGATGGCTACATATGTATTAAAGAATTACAGATGTGTGTCAAAAGAAACTGTTTCGTATTAATGGAAGCACATATTCTATGCATGTTAACTTGAAAACAATGGCGGAGTAAGATGGAAAATCGAGAGATTTTGATTTCAATGGATTAATCTTTATGCTTTAGATTTGTGATGCGGCACGATTTGGTGAACTGGTTTGTGACATCCCAGAGAAAATAAAAGAATCTCTGAAGTCCGGCTTTCTAACATTTACTAAGGATAAAATGAAAGCTGCTATGAACTCTGTTGTGAACGATTACAATATCAGTTTTCTTGCAGTTCATAATTTAAACATTTTAATTTATGATTCGTTTTTTGCTAAACGTCTATGAGCTCTCTTTTGAAAAAACATTATATAGCACACTTATGGTGTTCTAGTGGAATATTATGACAGTGACTCATTTCTTGTGATATTCAGATACGGAAAGGTAGTTCATTTAAGTGAGATTATAGATATCATTTCTGCGCTCTTTATCTCTCAGTTTAATTGAGATGCTAAATATGACGATGAGGTTTTACAATCATTTACAGAAAGAGGCCAGAGCGGCAAAAAAATCGTGGGATGAATTTGGGATTTCGCTGAATCATACTATTGAAGACAATCATACGCAAACGTTCCAACTGGAAAAAATGAAGTAAAGGGTGTAATACATAAGTGTTCTTTGTTCCACTTAAATCTAATACTTATTGTTACTTAATTTAGGGAAGAACTGGAAGGAGTCCTGAATCAGTTCGGAGTTTTTGTGGAGATTTTATCTACGACAATTAGCTTTATTATTCCCAATTTAATCATTATAACTTTCCTTATGGTAACCATCTCTCATCATATATTTCTTTGAATTCCACATTCATATGAAAATCAACGATCCTTACTTAATCCGGAAAAAAACGATTTGTACGCAATTATTTTATCAGGCATTAGTGTACGTTATAAAGTATAAGCAGAAGGAGAAAGTGGATAACGTCTACATAACAGGAGAATTTCGAAATGTTGATATGCTGCGGGAAGCACAAGGGCAACCTTCTTTACTTCCACTGTTACCCAAAGAACGAGAAACAGTTAGTTCACTTGTGTTATTCTCACTTCTCATTTAAATTTAGGTTTTATTCATAATAAATGCTGCATTGATGAAATCTTAAGACATACTTGCAATAATAGAGATGGGTGATTTAAATGCATTTCCAAAAGGATAGAACTAAACTTCTAAAGGAAGAAATATGTAATTTGAAAATAAATGTGTAATTTGAAAAATAAATGAAAAGTAAATGTAAATGTTGTAAATTACCTAGTTTGTTGCAGTATATTGAAGGATTCACATTACACATGACATCGAAGGAGAAAATGAAAATGCTATTTGCATTTTCGATTACATTGATTGGGGGTTTCATGCCAATTTTTCTAATATTGTTGGATGTATTCACCTATCAAATGCTTTATTTCACTTACTCATTCCTGCAATCTAACGCCACTCGCACCAGTCGACTTGATTTTTACAATCTTAAAGCATGTCTTCATTCTTTTCTTTGTTCTGTACTCTCCGTTTCTTAGATCATTTTATCTTCTAGGCTGCGGGAGAAGGTTTTTTGGCAAAACTCTTGCAAAGAATTCTTCATATATTTCATCCGATCACAGGAAGTCAACATAGCGATAATGACTGGAGACAATGTTTTATAGAACCGAATCCACCAGATTTCCAGCTGATTCGGCTAATGATGCTCTTATATTTAATTGCCTTTTTACTTTGTATTCTGCAGGTAAAAACTGCTTAAGCAATTAGTAATTCACGCAAGGTTTTTCGTTTACATGCCTTCATCTAAAATTATTAAAATTAATTGATAAAATGCTTTATCTAAGCATTTTATCAAACAAGTTCATCAAAGATGAATATTCTATCATTTCTTTATTTTGTTTTCCCTAAAATCCTCATCAAAAACTCCTAGTAACAGAACTCTAATTAATTAGTTAATAAATCATTTGCTATAATGAGATATTTGAAGTAATTAATTCATAGTGATTGTTATTATGAGTTTGGGCCATGAGCTAATCCTGTTTCAGTCCTATTTCCAAACCCTCTGTAATCTTGTGGATAGCATACTTCTATAACTCTGGAGTTTCATGATTTCGAAGACATAAAACTAACATTTATTTAAAAAGGAAACTGTAAGAAGTTTAATCAAGTGAAATCATATAGGGACATTTCGTAGGTATATGTAGTAAGATGTCGACATTTGATTGCGCAACATTATTGGCCAGAAAGAACAAAACCACGCACTTTATGGTTGTATAATCAAGTACTCGAAGGTCGCAAAAATATTTTGACACAATTGATAAAAGCTGCCAAGGAAAAGGTTTGCTTCTCATCTCTACAGACATAAAAAGAATGTTTGAAGATTTAAAAACTTCATTTAAGGAGCTTAAAGATCAGCTGGTTGAAGATGAAATTAGCGGACGGGGAAATCTTGTAAATCGTGGCTTGACGGTGTTAGGTGCTGATCAATACAGATGTGTCAGATGTTTTCGATCAGATCTCAGTATCGCCGATGCAAGATTAGTTAACTCATAGAGAATTAAAATCAATAAGTTTTACAGAACATAACTACGAAAAAAGAATAAATAGGACACCGAATGCTTCGAAAGCCCCAAACTTTCATATATTATGGATTTAAAAGATGGATCTAGACAATTTAGAGCAAATTTTTAATTTGATTTCAAGATTTTTTAATTTAATTTTAATATTTCTCTAATGTGAGTGCCATTAAAAGTACTAATGAAAAGTGGGAAACGTAGATGATATGAAAAAAATCAATGTAAAGAAAGAGTTTCCACTTCAAAAATATAGAACACAATGATGACGTTTATTAAAATAATATATTACAATTTTAGTAACTCAAGAATATGTCCTAACTGCAACAATTTATATTGCACTGATTGTTACGCTGTAAAGAAAAAATGCTTAGAATGTGGCGCAAACTTACAAGTCGGTGAAATACGCATACATCTGTGATATATCGAAATCCTTCTACAATTTTATTTCTCGTCAAATCTGATGTCATTTACTCCCGGCCACTTCGAAATATTCTCGTTTCACTTTGTTATAGTTCTTTTATAAGAGAATGATATTCTTCAGGAATGATCTTAAAAATGTATTACCTATGTTCTGTTTTTTATATAAATTTGTACTTTGTGCAGAACATAATCATTCCAGGAAGTATTGAATGAAACTGAATTTTATATAGACAGCAGCTGCGAAGAAGATGAACTTATTCTTGAGGACATTGGTAGGGATGGCACATCTATTCAATTTATTTTCTCTTGCTTTTATGTTAGTAGATAGTAATTAATGTTCTACAGTTTTCTTGCATGGATGTTTCGTTGCAGGAACACCGGAAATTCCGTCTTTGGTATGACCGTGTGTCAGTGAATGAAAGAAAGTTTGTCTACATGAAATACTTCATCTCAACATGTTTTTTTTTCCTTTCATTTTGTTTTAATTAATGAACGTAACACTCTCACTGTCAAATCTATACCGATCAAAAAGGAATGAATTAATGCATAAACAAATAAACTTTCTCGCAGATATTTATATACTTCTGGTGATTATTCACAGATGTCGCAAAATACAGAAATGAATTTTTCGTTTCACACTGCGGCAAATATCGTTCGAGAAAAGTTTAAAGAGGATTCCAAATACTTCTGTTTTTTGATTTTATTTGGACTTATGCTCTGTTTCTTCACCTCTTTTCATCAGAATAGTAATGATGGAATTCTTTTATTACATTGGGGGAATTTAAATCACCTTATCAGTCATTTTTAGGGGACAAATTTTAAGAGTAACCTTTGCACTTGCTTCGGTCTATTCTGTTTAGATATTACTGAGATACTATTGAATTCGGTGTGAATGAGCTTAGAAATTAGCAAAGTTCGTTACTGTTCTCGCTCTCATCCACCATTTTCTTCATTTGCACAATTTTCAAGGATACTGAACTTTTATGGCAAATTCTTGCCCCGATTTATATATAGAAAGAGAAACATGGAAACGAACCAGTAAAAGTACATTTCTCTTAAAATGCATCAGATCATTAATACACTGAACAGAACAGGTAACATTACTACAAACAGCAAACAGTAAGCAATTGTTATATACATGTTTCCTAAATTATTATATGCGTCAGTATGCGCGTAAATTTACGAGCTTTATAGTATTTTACATTATTTCAATGTTTTATAAAAAAGCACCACACTTTTCTAATACTGTTTATATATATATGTATATGTATATACAAAGATCTAATCAAAATGTGTGTTTCATTTTCGAAATCGATACACTAATTTTTTGTTATTGAATGGATAAGAAATGTTACTTTATTATTGTTGAGGAGTTTGTTTAAAAAGAATTTTTTGTTTCATTTTTGATTGTTCGAAGCTATTGAAAAACATGTCTCTGAAGGTGGGCATTTTGTTTAAGAGCGAACACTGAACAATCCTTATTATTATTCATTCTCCCTTCGTTTATAAATGTACGGCTTTCGTTATCTTTCATTCCAATCCATTCATTCTTCCTACACAAACAAATTTTGAGATTTTGAAAGTTGAATAGCATTGCTGTGTTAGTCTGTTTTGACTATGTATTTGGCTATTATTGTTATAGTTAGTAATCAGTGATTGCTTCAAATGTCCAAATATTTGGAAAAATAGCCCTGAGAAATCGACTCGAAATATAAATTCTTCTTGCTTCTTCCTTGTTTTGACAAATTTTCAACGACATTTGAAGAAAATTCACTCACTTTAGTTCATCTCATTGACATGCACCGTTTTTTCAGTAAATGTTGAAAAAAAATGTTGGTTAACAGTTTCCCTGTTTCAGTTACCGAATGCTGAACAATTGAGGTCATCCAATGAAATTGCTTTCAGCTCACATTTTATTAAACATCAAAATTCAATGAATCCGTCAACATTAAATCATGGACGTCGAGGATGGACAAAAAGGGCGAGAAAGTGGGCGTACGGAGGTGGAAAAGAGGGAGACGGTGAACTATGCGTAAATTAAATCGAGCACCGTAACTAGCACCACATTGAACATCGATTTATTTGGTGTGTGTGATCAATTTAACAAAAATAAATGAAAAAATTAATCCGCTTTCAATGAATAAAATTATCACCAGTACATTCATTCATTGAAGAAAAAAGTAATTCCGCTTTCAACTTTTTTTCACTTTTTTTTTTTTGTTTTTGCAGTCAAACTAAAAAGTGGAATGAGCATGGAAAAACACAGTTATGCATAGGAATTAACTTAAATTTCCAAAATGAAGCTGTTCCACAAATAAAAAAAGAATGTTGTTGCATGAGAACAAGTCTAACCAATTATCTCTCATTAACCTTACGTCATGGTACGTGCCTGATATCATCAGTTATTTCAATTCTGTGTGATAATGAAAATAGAAAACAGTATTTGGGCACTTTCTTCAAATCAATTGCTTTCATGATTTGACACACAAAACTTATGTCACTGAAAAATTGTTCTTTTTGAATCGGGGAAGAAGGCGGGAATTCTCAACCTTTGCTTTCTCTCTCTTTCCATTTTCACCTGTTCCTCTACATTACTTACTTTTTATAATAGCATCGAAATATCGAAATCAATGTTTTAAGTAAGGCATTTTCTCTTATAATGAACTCTTTCCGTTAATATCAGTCGTAAACGATTAAAGGTCATCCACAACTTCATTCTTCTTTGGTGTTTGAAGTGGTTGAAAAAAAAAACTGAAATTGTTGTATTGAAAGATAGAACGCACTTTTTTAAACTATTAGTAATAAAAATGAACTTAACTTTCGACTATCCTTAGTTGGAAAAGCTATACAAGATAGTAGAAAGAAGGTTGATATGGTGATATTTGGAGATCGAGTAATCAGTTTAGAATTTCAAAGCCATTATCAGTTTATTTGTAATTAATGTATATTGGTTTATCTCCAGCTGAAATTATCTAACTGTACAATAAGCAAATTGATCAACTACCTTTTTACAGCAGCCTTCGCAGTTTGTTGTTTACTTTGAAAATAATACTACTACGGGAAAGCAATCAAAATATCAAGCTTACACATTTCCATGTTCTTCTTCACAAGGTACCTTAGGTTCGTTGTTAGCTTCAAAGGGATCGTTCTTCATTAAGACTTCATTAAGAACAAATATTCAACCTTAACACTTAAAAAAAATCCATTAAAAATTATAATTGAAAGTATCGGAAGAATTATTTAATGATTTTTTAAGGTACGCAAAGCTGTTAATGTTGTATTTATTTTTTATAATTAAAATTTTATAAATGATAAAAAAATAAACAAGATTTTGTTAAAGGAAAAAGATAGTGTAAAACGATTAACAATTTATTTTCAAAAAAAGAATCAACCAATTACTAATTTTGTATAAATTTCAAGCTCTTGATTTCTGCACAAAACAACATGTGGTTTAAAATAACGTTATTATTGAAGTTATTTAATTATTATTAATTATGGTAATGTTTGTCTAATAACATTTCTTTTCATGATGGCAAGACTTCTAACGTTCAGTGCTGGTTTATAAAACTGGATGGATGTTCTTGTACAATTTCGTGCAGTAAGAGGAAATGTACTTTAAGTGGGACCAGAAGAGTGATTGAGTGTACATTTGTCAAATGCATCGTGATCAGCCATACCACCGCTATGTCCTCCAAACACATCCAATTTATACCTTTTTTTCATTTTTCCAAAGAATTTGCTCTCAACTTTTGTTGCTTTCTATTATTGTATTTGATGAAAACAATATTTTATTAAGTCGAAAAGATAAAGACCAAACACTTGTAGTAGATGAAAGCTTTTAAATGAGCTTTGCATTTATAATCAAAGCATTTTTGATTCATGTTGCATTTAAGGCATTTCTGTCTCTGCGAAGCTTTATCCGATCTTTTGCGCATAGAAAAGTGAATGGATGGATGAATAAATGGAAGGAGGAAATGAAATGATGATCGGTGGAGTAATGAGTGTCAAGAAAGAGATGTGATTTCTAAGAGTTAGAATCATACCATACTCACTTTCCAAAATTTCTCTTGTTAAATGCATTTCCTTGCTTTAAGACTTTTATTTAACTATTTAAGCTGCCATACAAAAGAAACATTTCCGCCTGACCTACTAAGTAAGAATATACAAGAAAGAAATGGCATCTCCACATAATAATATGTGTGTTATCATAACATACAATAATTATCAACCATTAAATTTCTTTCCTCTGGAATTTATGTAAATTTATTTGGATTATTTGTGACAAATACATTTGAAATTCAATTTATCTTGCAGCATATGCTTTAGCTGCAAATTACATAATATGAATAGTTGGCCAAATATAATGTTAGTTATATTTTGGTCATTCTGCTTGAATGCTTCCTCTACTTACCAAAGGAAAATTTTTTATCAAAAATGAAGAAACATTTTTGTGCTATAGCTTTCTGGCCGAAAGAAAGTAAATTTCTGGAATGTTAAATATTCTGTTGATTTGTTGATACTGGAAAACATTACTCGTAATTAGTTGTCTGCATTATT